ATAACCGCGTGAAAAACAGAGGTAAGCAGTGTCGTTTGCATATATCGTCTTGCTATGTTAAACATTTGTGCCCTGTTACTATTAAGGGTAGAGTGCAAAGTACTGAGATTAATATACTATTAGATACAGGAGCTTCAGTATCCTTGATCAAGGAAGACCTCTTGCAGAAACTTAACCACAGCACTCAGCGTAAACAATGCTCTTCTACCTTAATTACCGCGAGCGGAGAACCCTTGAAAGCGTGTTCTAAGATAGGGTTAGAGCTGACGGTTGACAAGAAGCCTTTTCAACATGAATTCTGGGTTTGCCCCACACTGACTTGGGACATGATTCTCGGGGTCGACTTCATGTTAAAATACCAGGTCTCTATACACATGAATAAGTCAGAAGCGAGTATTGGTGGAGTTGTCGTGCAAATACAACACCATGAAATACCAACTAAGTCCGTAGCCCAGGTGGGAATTTCAGAAATTGTACGTCAGGTACAAGATAATAAAATAATAATTGAAAAAGACCGTCGAGCAACCACTGCTGTACTCCAACAATTCAGTTCCGTTTTCTCTGAGAATATCTCTGGAAATCGGACGACCACTGTACAGCACTCCATCCTCACAGGTGATCACACGCCATTACGTCAACCACCTCGCCGAGTACCAGTACATTACCAGCCTCAATTAGAATCTATGGTAAAAGATATGCTGGAGAAAAAGATCATTGTACCATCTTCATCACCATGGGCATCGCCTATCGTTTTAGTGAAAAAGAAAGACTCTTCCCTACGACTATGCGTAGACTACCGCCGCCTTAACGCTATAACTAAACGTGATTCTTTCCCACTTCCACGTATAGACGCTACATTAGATGCCATGAAAGGCGCTCGTTGGTTCTCGACTTTAGACTTAGCATCAGGGTATTGGCAAGTGGAAGTCCGACCTCAAGATAGAAAAAAGACTGCATTCACAGTACCCAATGGTCTATATGAGTTTCAAGTAATGCCGTTTGGGTTAACTAATGCCCCAGCCACTTTCCAACGATTAATGCAGACAGTTCTACATGGTCTCGTACCACACCAGTGTTTAATTTACCTTGATGATATTATTGTGTATGGCAGAACGCCGGAACAGCATAATGCCAATTTGAAGGCAGTCCTACAACGAATTAAGCAGCATAACCTAAAAGTTAAACCATCTAAATGTCGACTATTGCAAAAAGAAGTGCTCTTTCTAGGGCATCGCATTACAGAAGATGGAGTAGCAACAGATCAGGGAAAAACGAGCGCCATTATTAACTGGCCACAACCGAAATCTGCCGAGGATGTTCGCAGCTTCCTGGGACTCGCTTCTTATTATAGACGTTTCGTACGGGATTTCGCATCCCTGGCAGCACCTCTGCATCGCCTGACGCACAAAGGACGAACATTTTTGTGGACCACAGAGTGTCAACAAGCATTTAGCACTTTGAAGTCGTGTCTTGCTGCTCCACCCGTACTAGCTTTTCCGGACACTTCTGCTAAAGCGGGTGAGTTTATACTCGATACAGATGCTAGTTCATCAGCTATTGGAGCAGTCCTGTCTCAAATAGCAGTAGATGGACAGGAGCGGGTCATTGCCTACGCTAGTCGGCGGTTAGATAAGAGGGAGACAAGGTATTCTACGACGCGCCGAGAGATGCTGGCTTTGGTAAAATTTTCGCAACATTTTCGTCACTATCTTTTAGGACGACCCTTTCGTGTACGCACAGACCACCGTGCACTACAGTGGCTTCGTTCGTTCCGTGAACCAGAAGGTCAGGTAGCGCGCTGGCAGGAGAGGTTGCAGGAGTTTGATTTTACCTGTGAATACCGACCCGGAAGCCGACACACAAACGCTGATTCTCTATCTCGTATACCTTATTCTCCTGATACCATTAGTGCCGTCCTTAGCACAGCCCCCGAGATCGACTGGCCGTCTCTTCAAGCAGAAGACCCAGATCTGCGATTTATTTATCAGAGGCAACTACATGGCAATAATAAACCATCTATGGCAGAGTTAAAGGATCATTCCTTGGCAACGCGCCGTCTTTGTGCCAAGTGGGGCGGTCTAAGATTGTATGAAGACACGCTATTTATAGTCAGTGAATCAAAACAACCACTACTGATAGTACCACGTATACAAGTTCAGAATATTATGGAGCAGGTACACCGAGAACTGGGGCACTCAGGAACACGGAAGACTGAACATGCTATCTGCGGAAGGTTTTGGTGGCCATCCATCCACGAAGACGTTGCAGAATTCTGCAAAAATTGTAGCACGTGCTATGCTATCAAGTCACCCCGACAAATACCCCGCGCACCCTTAGTTCCAATGACGACAGAAGGTCCGCATCAGCGAGTTGGCATCGATATTATGGGGCCACTCACAACGTCGAAGAACGGAAACCGTTATTTACTGGTTATGGTAGACTATTTCAGCAAATGGTGTGAAGCTGTGCCTATACCACAACAAGATGCCCTCACAGTTACTCGGGCTTTCATTGATCATTGGGTATCCCGGTACGGCGCTCCCCTCTCACTCCATTCTGACCAAGGTTCAGCTTTTGAAAGTCATCTCGTCGCCCAGGTATGTCGATTATTGGGAATCCGGAAAACACACACTACCGCATATCATCCAGAAGGTAACGGCTTAGTAGAAAGAACCAACAGGACTATCAAAGCTCTCCTTCAATCGTTTATCAATAAGTCGTCGACGGAAGGTTGGGATGACGTGATACCACAATGTCTGTTAGCTTACCGCTCATCAGTGCACGGATCTACAGGATTTTCACCGGCGACCCTACTTTTTGGGCATGAATTGCGCCTACCCGTTGAGCTGCAAATACCGCTGTTACCATGCGAGATCCAAGATCATGTAGTATACATCCGTAATCTTCGCAGCCGCCTAGCCGACGCCTATCGCTTAGTGAAGATCAACCTACAAAATGCCAGCAAGCACCAAAAGGACGTGTACGATCGCAAGACGAACGGACCTGTGTATAAACCCGGAGATCGCGTGTGGCTGCACCGCCCTTTGGCTCCACCGGGGACATGCAGCAAGTTCCATCACCCTTGGCAAGGACCTTACGAAGTTGTGTTTATGCGGTCCCCCACTACATTCGTCTTACGTAACCTCCAACGACCCCAAGACGATGTTATAACAGTACACTACAATCAATTAAAGCCAGACAAGACAACGGTGCACTTAGATACCCCGTTTGTCAACCCCCCGACTGCCGTCAGCCATTATGAAGTGCCACCAGAAGGAGGGGTAGCATACCCATGTCCAGCACCAGGCACTGAGGACAGTGCCTCATGAAGAGAGGGGATAGTGTAACAGTATCGAAAGTCATTACGTGTAACTTTATTAATGCAGGTTTGTTTTCCTTATTGCAGGACAACAGAAAGTGAACGTATTAGAAGAAGAAGAACAAAGCTTGCGCAAACTAAACCTGCTGGATGATGAGTAAAACTATTTTGTAACAGACTTCTCTTTTTGTACAAAAACCGCGTATTTCAATTTCTAATATATCTCTGTTGTGCTCGCACGCCGTGTTCTCACTTGAGTGGCATCTGCCAGTCCTGACTGTTGTGTTGTGTTTCAGATTGCTCCTGCCTCCAGGTAAACGATAAGAAAACGTGCTACAGTGCTGTGACGGGATTAAAATCATCATGTATGATGTTGTTAATAGATTTTGTTTTCCTTCTATTGCAGGGCAAGCAAGAATAAACGCTTTAGAAGAGAAGAGCAAGCCCTACACGCACTGAACTTACAGGATGACTCATAAGACCGTTTGGTAAACTAGCTCTCTTTCTGTACAAAAACCCTTTCGTGTGCGCACGGATCACCGTGCACTGCAGTGGCTCCGCTCTTTCCGCGAACCAGAAGGGCAAGTGGCACGCTGGCAGGAGAGACTACAAGAGTTCGATTTCACATGCGAGTATCGACCGGGAAATCGACATGCAAACGCGGATGCCCTCTCCCGAATACCCCAGACCACAGATATTATTAACGCAATTCTTAGTACAGCTCCAGAGACAGACTGGCCCTCCCTACAAGCAACAGATCCAGACTTACAGATTGTTTATCAAAGACAGCTACATGGAAATAGTAAGCTATCCATGAGGGAGCTTAAAGATCAATCTGTAAGTCTGGATCTGTTGCTTGTAGGGAGGGCCAGTCTGTCTCTGGAGCTGTACTAAGAATTGCGTTAATAATATCTGTGGTCTGGGGTATTCGGGAGAGGGCATCCGCGTTTGCATGTCGATTTCCCGGTCGATACTCGCATGTGAAATCGAACTCTTGTAGTCTCTCCTGCCAGCGTGCCACTTGCCCTTCTGGTTCGCGGAAAGAGCGGAGCCACTGCAGTGCACGGTGATCCGTGCGCACACGAAAGGGTTTTTGTACAGAAAGAGAGCTAGTTTACCAAACGGTCTTATGAGTCATCCTGTAAGTTCAGTGCGTGTAGGGCTTGCTCTTCTCTTCTAAAGCGTTTATTCTTGCTTGCCCTGCAATAGAAGGAAAACAAAATCTATTAATAACATCATACATGATGATTTTAATCCCGTTACAGTGCTAACGTTCACGGAGATTTTTTGTACAAAACGTGATAATTGAGCGGCTATAACAAATAAAACGGCGAGACTATAATTTGTGGGCGAATCAATCAGGTATAAGATAATAGATCTCAGACTTTAACGCGAAAGCCTTCCAACCATCTGGCTAAATAGATTTCTGGCATTATATCTGATAACAACCCCATATATAATTCCTAACTAAGTCAAATTACGACACTTATTGCGAACTGGATAGTAAAAGCGCTAGTGACATTGGCTGAAGCCAATTACTACATCTCAGTAAGAAATGTGGGTATGTATTCTCGCTAGGTTTTTTGTGATGTCTAGAAATTTTTGGGGAAGTTTTGCGTTAAAAAGAGTTTCGGGAAAAAACCCCAAAGTCAGGGGAAATTAAGGTTTTTCCCCCAAATTGTGAAAATTTTTTGGGTTTTCTCAGTAAATATAGGCGCACTTCCCCAAAGTTTAATAATATTCTGGGGAAATTTTTGGGGTTTTTGTGCCATTTCCCCAAAGTTTTCTATGGCGGCTTCATCAAAATGGGTCAAATTTTCCGCAAAATTGGGAGCTCGGGTTGGGTTTTGTAGCCGTATGGATGATTTCCTCTACTGCATGCATTACGATTTTAGAACCTCTGAACCTCTTCCTAACCTTGACAAGTTTTTGAACCACGTATAAGAAGTGTATCCAATTTTTCTTGTTTTTAACATTTCTACTCTATGCTGACTGTTTGTTGACTGGCTGATATTTCTCAAGGTTAATTTAGATTCGTTCAAAGGTCGTCCATAAATTAGAGTCTCGCCATTAACATAGGTCGAGTGGCTTCCTATCCTTACTACGTAGTAAGTAAGTACTTAATACCAAAATCTTACTTCGGTTGGAAGTCCGGTCTTCAGCGATAAAAAAGTAAGTCGTTTGACCTGTGTTAATCCTCGGAGCGACGATTCAGCTTCTCTATGAGATTGTACACTGGTGGAAATGATGACACCTGTTCGCGTAGAGTACTCCGGGACGCACCTTCTAGTCATTGAACAATCGGTGAAAGAGAATCCCACTGAGTTTATTTGGTTGACGTTTTTTAAACTTATTGTGGCCTCGGAGATAATTAGTTCCGTAGGGAGTTATATCATAAGTGTTAACATCAAAATTATTACTTAAGATACGGAATAACAACCATAACAACTGAAAATCTTTGAGAATTGCTGTATTGCAATCCGTAGTTGTTTTCAAGTCATGACTCACTGATATTCCTGTCTTGTTGTTCCTGCGCTCGTAGAAGTGACGTACCACTAACGGCATACTGCTAATTAGCAATGGTTATAACCATTGCCGTGTCCAATGTAGAATAACACACTCTTGGTGATTCGTTAACGTAGAAAAAGAAAAATAGGGGACGTAAGATGGTGTCTTAAGGTATACTGATTTTAATCGATTTCATTGCAGATGGTGTTCTATTTACCATCATCCTTTGTCTCTGGTCACAAGAATTTCTCTCGCTCTTATATGATTCCTGTTGTTCCAAAGCTTGAGAGCTTTGCACAAGCCCTTATCGATACACATCAAAATATTTGAATATCACACTGATAGTCAAACCACTATCTTGGGTTGGCTGTCCAATTATCTCTATTGGTTAGTTAATCATAAATATTGAGACTCGTGTTTCTTAAGAGTGAGTAGATTGCATGATTCTACATGACTTAGTAACTTAGTCCGAATTGTTTTCTCAAACACATTAGCTACTGCGTTAGTTGGACCAATAGTTCAGTAGTTGGGAACGATATCTCTTTCTATACTTAAGTATAGGGTTGGCGATAGCATTCTTTTAATCTCTAAAGAGTCCGGAAAAGGGACATGTTAAATAGTACCGTGAGTGGTTCTGAAATAATGCCCAGGAGAAATAATAGCAATTGTAAATGTAAGCTATCGGGTCCCGGTGACTTACAAGCATTGGTACTGTAGCGGCAACTACCATGGTATCTCAGTGGCGTGGTTATTGGGTGTGTTGACAAAAAAGCCAGCAGAGTAGACCTCACTGAAATAGTTTGACAAAATCTCATCTTTGACCGTGTTTGAATTATCGTGTAATAGTAACGGGGGACTCCAATACTACATTTTGTTCTCCGCTTAACATACGAAAACAATCGTTCTTGGCAATTACAGTTATCGTGTGTCGAATGTCTTTCGTATGTAGTGCGGGGTCTAGCTCTAGCCATTTTACGTACACCCCTGATTTTTCCGTACTCATACTTAAATAACTCACGACCAGTGTTAGAAACAAGTCGCAAAAATGTTTCCTACTCTGTATCATTTCCCGATTCATGAAAGACAGTTTCATTGCTTATGTGTTGACCATGATATGAACGGCAATGTTATGGCCTCGAATATGTATTCAAACCCACTCCATCTGTATTCAATCAACCTGTTTAAATGACTGACCAGTTTTTTTAGGTAGCACAGTCTCTGTTTGCTGGAATGTTGGATTATAAAGAACAGGTATTTCTCGTTTGGGTTTTACGTTCTTTTTTAGTTTGAGATACCGCAAAATGGTTTTTGTTTTTAACACATGGTCATTTGAGTCTTAAATAAACATACACTTTAGTGTAACAGTGCTATCTTTCATAGATGTCTAAATTTCTTACAAGAACTAATAATTTCTGTCTTAATGCTAACAGGCTCGGCAGTATAAGTTAGTTTAACTCCCATCATTTGATCTTATACCTTCAGGAGTATGGTTTTAAAACACAATTGTGTTAACTCATCAGTTAATTGACGTCAGCTATTTGACTAATATTTCTGTGCTTTTTAGCCTTCAGATGGATGAACGCTTTACTACGGCATTGTCTATATGGATCCATAAACCCCAGGTTGTACATAAAGATATATTTGCTTCATCTGTTGTATCCGAAACTGATGAATCCTGCGTAAGATTTATCTATCCGAAGCTCCGTACTGGGGTCAGTGAATTCACTGAAGTTTGTTCCAAAGGATCAGCTTATAAGTTTTCATCGATCTCTATAACTTACATTATCGAGGAAACAAAGTAATTTTACTCTATTATACTGATTAGTAGTGGTCGCATTCAAGTTTCCGTCTTGGATGAGTCTCCTGGGTTTCTCCAGAGTTCTTGGCTAAAAGACATCCTTGAACAGAAGCTTAATCTTTGGTATTCTTGTGATGCAAAAGTTAATATTCCTTCCCTCTCACTAATTGATTGCCGTTTATATCAATTGCAATACGAACGCTTGAAAAATACCTATGGACCTACTCTAGTTAAGGTACCCATTAAAATCGTGATTGATTATTTGTAGTAGAACTGGTCGGAGAAAACAGACCCAATGAAATTCGTGTATGAAGATATTGGCATAGCTTGCTACCTTATAGTATGTCAAATTGCACAATAAATTTGCTTTTTTAGTGTTTATGGAAAAATGAACATGTTAATTTCGTCGATCTTGGTTGTGGAAACGGATTGTTGACTTACATACTTTCGTCGGAAGGAGTAAGTTACTTTATCCTTTATTCAACAAGTTCACTGGCATAGGAATAGATGTACGTAGAAGGCACATTTGGAAGTCTTATCCAATAAGTGTACAACAACGTTTAAAGGTATGTTTTTTGTGCTTTCTCAATCCCTGAATTGCTTGTGATATTTAAGTTCTCGGTGTATTTCACATTTAAAATCCCGATTCTACACCCTACCAAGATAAAATGTGATTTTCTTACAGGATACAGAACGGTGTTTTAACTTCTTTAACCTCAGTAACTCTCAACCATTGTTTTAAATGACATTACTACGTGATATTTAGTTTGTATAATTTTATCTAATTTTAAAAATAAATCCTAGAAAGGTGATGTTAATGTACAGCTTCCGATCATTTTAAATAAAACTGGCTTCCCGTACACCAACTATTTTTTGCCCATAAAACTAGCTAAGTATTTTGTTTTTTAAAATATTCGAGTTGTAAAAATCACAAGTAAGGATGTTATACCTGAGTTTAGCTCGTGGCAATTTAAATATCATGGTCGATCTGAAAGTCACTTTTTTCTATCTTCAAATGGTGGATCTCTTAATTAGTAGGAGACATTGACATAATATATAAGTGATATTGTCGTCCTGTGTAATGAATAACCAAATCTCAGTCAGTCAGCTACAACGCAGGACCAGGCACATATATGCATCGGTCCAGGTTGCCATACCTCATTAGCACAGCAAGATGAACACCGGATTCATAGGAGTGGTTAGGTCAAAGGTGGTAATATAGGAGAAAGATTGCATATAAGGATACAGTACAGGAAGAAAGAATTAGTTAGTATAAAGAAAAATATAAAGTGATTTTAATCTCTTAGTTTAAGGGAAGACAGGGAGTGTATACACCTACGCCATTGTGATCGATTCTGAGCCATGTCACCAAGAGTCTCCAACCATCGGTTACGAAAGTCACGCAGACCCCAACCAAGCAGTCTGCATCTACCAACATGGCTCAGACTAGAGGTTAGTGTCTTCAAGCACTGATGCCACGTTTTGGTTTGGCCGCCCCTAATTCTCTTCCAACCATCTCTAACACCCGTTAGCATTGCACGACGTGGTAATTGTGTTCAGGCATACGTAACACGTGGCCCAACCACCTCAGTCGATGAAGATTAACAACCTCATCAACTGATTTACCATCATTACCTAATACCCTGCGTCTAACCTCACTATTACTTACCCGGTGATCCCAACAGACGCCAGCAATATTTCTAAAGCATCTGTGGTCAAATACTAGTAGCTTACGAGTGTCTTCTACTCTTAAAGGCCATGTTTCGCTGCCGTAAAGTAAGACAGAACGGACTGTCGCGCAGTATACTCGTCCTTTTATTGATAGACGGATATCTCGCCTTCGCCAAAGGTGACGTAAGTTGGCAAAAGCCAAACGAGCTTTTCGAATCCGTGCTGAGATTTCGTCCGAGACCAGCCCCATTAGGGCTGATCAGACTTCCAAGATAAGTGAAGTTGTCGACGCGTTCGACTACTTCACTCCCTATCCTTAGTTCAGGTGTTGACGCAGGCCAGTCCTGAAGCAACAACTTGCATTTCGAGGGAGAGCAGCGCATTCCAAACATTCTGGCATTGTTGCTTAGTGCTACCAAAAGACTGCATTTTGTCAGCGTCTTCACCAAACAGGACTATGTCATCTGCGTATTCTAAGTCGATAAGTGGACCTCCTGGAAGGAGATCAATACCCAAATCTCATTTATCTGCAAAGTTGGAAAAGCCATGAATAACAAAGCAATGAAAAATAGCGAAGTATGACATTAATTTCAGATGTCTTTAGGCACAATGGTTTAGTATTGTCGGTAAGGTTAACTAGGGATTTAGTTTGAGTTCGGGATCTAAACGTGATTTCATTTAGTGAGCCTAAATCGGTAATTGACCTATTTCGTAAGAAAAGATAGCAACGCTCTCGTAAAATAACCATAGGACAACCAATTAAACCAATACAGTTTCTAAAATCATCTAAATTCTGAATGATACTTTGGAACAGTAAACTCGAAAAAAATCGATTTGAAGATCAAAAGAGTTGATCATAGGAAGTTAAGGGCAGCTCAATCATCACGTGGCACCGGTTTATGAGGCCACTGGTTGTCGAATCGATCATTGTTGATAAACGCAGATATCCCGATCGCGGTTCATAATTATCTTAACATTCCTCGTTCTCAGTGATACATATCCAGTCATATATGACTGGGATCTGTCGATAAATCAAGAATCCCCTGTCGGGTTTCCAGAGATCTTGCAGCTCGCTGACTTGAGACGCTATCAGACATGAATCAGCATTGAAGCCAGTGACGACTGTATTGTAGTTTCCTACTACAATGTTACCACTATTAAGATAAACTTTCTTAACTAAAAGAAGTGTTGGTTGTGTTCTTAATTGAACTCTATCCCATATTAAATGCTCTTTCTGTTTATTTATTGATTGTACGACCCTTCTCTCATTTCTTTACAATATTACAGCTTCATTTGCTTGGCACACTTATTTATGCCCTATTATACCAGAATATAAATATATTTCTAATGGGAATATGAACAAAAAATCAATGTTCTTCATTTAAAAAACCCAGACGAATTCATACTCCCTTTTATGACTTCAGATATCCGACCCAACTCTAGTTTTTTTGGTTGTTTCTATTTTTCTATGGTTATCTCCATATTCTTTCTCATTATATTTGTGTAATATTGGCTAGGAGTAATAGTTTTATTCTGATCCAGTCCATCAGCTACAGCAATCCAGTTTTTTCTGAATTGTATTTTTAACTAAAATTCATTTATAATGTTACTCAACTCTGTAAAATCTCGCTACCATTATTTCATATTTTAGGAAATTTCGTTAAATCCAGAAGAAGTTTGTGGGTTTCCACAAGCCAATTGGCTAATCGGGAATCACAGTGATGAACTTACACCTTGGTTGCCTATACTGGCATGTAAAAGTGGACCATCATGCAAGCTATTTGTTTTACCATGTTGTCCTTACAGTCTTTTTGGAAAATTCAATATCCCGAAAAGTTCACTTTCATTTTTACCTGACGACATAAATGTCAAACAGATAACAGAAAATAGTCGATATGGTACATATCTTAATTATATACAACACATTTTTGCCATTTGCAGATTTATACCTGAAGTTGATGCGCTCAGAATACCATCAACCAAACGTGTAGGTTTGTAACTATTAGTTATTTGTCGAATTTTTGAGTATATTATATATATAAAGAGAGAGAGAAGGAATGTAAAATTGCAATATACTCTGCTGTCAGTAACTCAACAAAATATCTATTGTATTTCTACGAACAACCTGGTGGCTGAAAGACGAACCACGATCATGTGTGAGTTACGTCACAAACCTTGCTAGATTCAAAATGCACCGTAGCTATATTGCCAGTTGCAGCCGTCTACAGTTGTGTATGCCATCCAAAAACGAACATAAAAATTTCTCATTTGGTGTTGTTGCACAATTTTACTATGTGGTCATTAATTCATTGGTTGAGATAAAGCTGATGACATACCATATATGACAAGGAGAGGTAGTTAAAACGGTTGCTATAGTGTCCAAATAATGAAGACGGATTCTATGAGACTGCTTAATTTGATCACAAACTTAAGGCTATAGGCTGACAAGCTAGTAGAGAATTTATTCTTGGAGACAGTCATTTGTTTAGTTCCACATCGACAGCTGTATCGTATCGTTCATTGTTTGGAGGGTTCACATGAGATTTTTAGTCTTAATTAACTTTACCTGCTTGTTTTTTTATCAGATTTTTCTTAACTACTTTAGCTAATATCATAGTCGTCTCTAGCTTTTGTAGTGCACTATAGTATGATATCGCGGCTGTCTGTAATCTCACAGATCACAAAGACGAAGCTATTGATTCAGTGACCTAGTTTCTCTTTAAAATCCACTAGCCAACGTAATCTTTATCACTAATTGATAGAAATAGTTTCGGGACTATAAATGGTTTAGTTTTCTTCCAAAATCAAAGAACACACACTAGCATTAGATAGTAAACATTTGCTTCGCATTGATCCAATGATATACTTCTGTAAGTCAACAAATAAAATGAGTTTCCCGGTAATTCTACCTCGTTTTAAACGATGTATTCCGACTGTTTATGAAATTCACATAACTTTCTACTGAGTAATTGTTAACTCCAGTTTCTGTTTTTTACATGTTATTTTTATGTTTCGTTGTTCTAGATATGTATTATTGGTCGAGATATAATCGATTCAAAGTGTTTTGAAAATAATGAGCACTCAAATCGTTTGTCTGCTGTTAATAAATACATTGAATACGAACGTGATATCACTTCAAAGCCTAACAAAACGTTTGTTGCACGTCCACTCACAGAGGTTCCCTGTAACTGTACAAGAGTTTCGAAATTTGTTCTTGACAAAATATCACATACAGTTTTCAAAGCCTTATTAATCTGTAAACCAGATAAATATCGTTTACAATCCCATAATCTTATGCTTTCTGATGATTTAAGAATAAGAACTTTGGACAATCGTTGGTGGAATCCTGGTGGTAAGTTTCCATAACAGTTTTATTGGTAGATACTTTTCCAAATAGTATCCAATTTTTCACTGGAATGTTGCAAGTTCAATAAGTTCAAGGGTATTTTTAGCGTAAGATAAATAGGGATCTAAATTATCATACGGATCACTGGGCGGTTAAAAATGCTTTTCACACTATTGATGGCATGATACATAACCTGTCTCTATTCATTATGACAGCTAACGTAAAACAAAGAAGGTGTTAATAAGTAGCTCAACTTAAATTCTTGAAGAAAAATGCTCATTACTCTTATTGTATACGGTCAAAATCTAATGGTCGTATATAACTGGTCTGATATATCTCTACTGATTAATTATATGAAGACGACTCCTCATGGAATTAATGTACGCACTAAACTGTCGTGCCAATTATATTCCAACTTTTAGATTTAAGTCAGTTTGGAATCTTCATTTCATGCCTTAAATATTTTGTTTGAATATATCCGTATAGTTTCATCTAAATATTTCATTTTATCAGCATAATCTTTTCATGTGGCTGGCGCTTTTTTACTGAATATAAACAATTTCCTAGAGGTTATTACCTAATAAAAATCGTTTAAAACAGTGGTGTGATAAAATTTATATTGTTAATATAGATTACGTATAATAATTTCAGGTATTAGTTATTGTAAACTGTCACATGTGATCACAATAATTGCAGTATATAAATCTCTCAACAAGGTATACTCATCTAGCATTTATTTGTGACAAAAATTATCACAAGATGCAGTAGAATACAATTTGTGAAGCTGCCGTGAAGTTTAGTTGGATGGATGTACTGAAATATCAGGATAAGAATTGTTATTAAAACGTAGATTTATGAACTGACTAATTGTGGTATAACCCATAATAACGAGTAACTCACTTCTTTTGGTTATCCGTTACTAAATGACAGCATCTAAACTCGTCAGTACTGACTAGAGTTTATTCTCATCCTTTTCTCACCAGAATTTATCAATCAAATCGATAAGCGAGTATAACGATTTCTAAACTTTCTTTGCGACTATAAAAAAGCTCAGGTGCATATTTTGTATGGTTATGTGTTCTCTGGACCCGTTGGTTTAGTTACGAATCTTCCATTGTCGTCTTGGGCATCATCAGAGTCTACTTCAAGCAGAAGTAAGCTGTTTGAAGATCACTCCTCAGGTGATCAATCAGTCTGTTCTCATTATGCTTTTTGTGATTGATGATCTTTGTAGGTTTTGTCATTTTCGAGTATCTATACATACTCGTTGACTGTGCTGTTCAGTTGACCATTGACTGTATGATTGGTAAGCATCCTCTTGTTAAGCGTTTTTTAACAAGGTTGTTTCTTATTAAATGAAACTGCTACTCCTATGTCCAATACTCCACTTTTACATGGACTTGAAACCGGTAGTACTCTAGAAAGGCTCCAGGCTGTTACGTTATTGAATTAACAAGACTGTATTTTATGCCGGTGTGTTTATTGATTTCATGTTGAACAAATTATCATGCTTTATTTGGGATTATTAGAATGTCATTAATTACTACTTTCCCGATCAAATTCATCTGGACGGATTGATGTAAGTGATAATATGTCATGTCGTTCTGCTGCTAGTCTATGTTCATGTTGTTGGGATATTCAGGAAGCTGTTAAGCTTCCTGTTAAGCCTAATGCTATCCTTGGACATGAAATGGTATCATCTTATTGGTCAATACTTGTTTAACGTGTCATTTTCCTACTGGTCATTATTGTACAATGTTATTTTCTATTTTATGGACGTTGTGGTCTGCTTGACTGGTATATAAACAAAGTATGTTTGAAATACAATGATTCATATCTCCGAGGCTGTGACTTGTGTTCTGGACTCAACTGGCTGGGTTAGATAGGGAAGCGAGACCAGTCAGAACCCTAGGTCGTTCTACGTGTTTGTGCGTCTTTGGTCCGATCAATAATTCGCTACCCTTAATCCGCAGCATCATTTTCACAGTTATAACACATGTATAGATCGGTTTGCAAGTGATGTGTCGCCGAACATGACGATGATTGGTTGTTTGCTTACTCAGACTTGTAGATAGTCTGATAGGCGTTAAATGAGTTATATATTCTCCTATCCCTATTATCATTGATTGTTGTTGGTTTTTGGTGTGAAAATATATCTACGTTCTAGTTAGGTGAATCATGTGTTCTTGATCTGAGTTGTGTTGAAGTCTTGTTGAATAGACATTAAGAGGGAATCTAGCGTAGATATTTGTCTAATATCCCGGAGAGAGATATTGGTATCTGTTGTGAAAAATTGATGATCTTTCACCAAATATACGTGTCAGGCATTTTATTGTTCTTCTGAAGGTCACATCGGCTGGCTTCTTTGGGAGAATAAAATTACAGAACTTTTCATGTTCAGAAACTCCGAGCTTCCGTAGTAATCATCTTAGTTTCGACCCTTCATCCCGCTCTTTACAATCATTAATAAACAAATCCTCATAGCACTTAAACCACGCCTCAAAAGTAGTCCCACTTTCTGGGTCAAATCTAAATTCATTTATTGAATTCGCAGTGGAATCCGAAGTCATAATGGAATTAGATGCTTGGGTTCTTGGGGATACTAACATACTCTTGACCAATAATTCGATAAGAGCATTTTACTGTTGCAATAAAGATTTCAGATCATACACTTTATTGTTACAAAACCCGCTTTAACTGAATATATAGGCGTAGATGCGTTTTAACCACCGTCGCCGCTGTTATAACGGTCGGTTTCCCACGTCTACACGAACGGGATGTTAGACGAATATCTACGCTAGATTCCCTCTTAATGTCTATTCTACAAGACTTCAACACAACTCAGATCAAGGACACATGATTCACCTAACTAGAACGTAAATATATTTTCACACCAAAAACTAACAACAATCAATGATAATAGGGATAGGAGAATAAATAACTCATTTTAACGCCTGTCAGACTATCTACAAGTCTGAGTAAGCAAACAACCAATCACTGTCATTGTCGGCCACACTTAATATTTTTCTTGTACTAACTTGAGTATTGCTAGGTTTTTTCTTTTTCATGGTTGTATTGATGCTTTTCTCTTAAATATATTTACTTATTACAAAAGATAGTATATGAGAAAAAGTTGGAATAAAATATTTTTCCCTCTTTCATAATAAGGTACATTAACTTTATCAGAATGCAGTGAACTTGTGTCACTAGAAGATATGAAATTATTAAAATCTCAGCATGGTGGTTTGCAAACTGTCTTGAGGAATCACCATCAGTGCTTTCGAAGTGAGTCGACTTAACATGAAATTAATTGATTAATCTATGTGACCTGTAAATTTTCATGCAATTTTACATTGTATATGTATCTTAAAAATTAGCAGTTCAAACTGTGACTAGTGTTTGAATGTAGTACTTCTGATTTTTTTAAGTGCACACCATTTAATCGGATAAACAGTACAAAGAATAAAGGATTTTAAAAGTTCTAGGTAGTACTCTCCAGCTGGAATGAACTGCGTGTATAATCTTTAGAGGGGTATATATATATACTGAAATTCATGCAGTTAGAGCTAGAAGCACTGGACGGCCGTCCCGTGCTAGTATGAGACTCATCAGCAGTCCGCATCCACGACCCCGCCACATGGGATTAGGATTCAGGACCTATCAGTCTCGCGCGCGAACGCTTAACTTCTATACATGTATGGATGTGTGTATGTAAATTTATTACACTTTGACAGGACGAGTAAGTGTACATATGACTATATCCGAAATCAAACCTAGTGATTAAATTTAGACAAAGTAAATGAGTATTATACCATCAAATAAGTTAGTAGTGACCGATTAAGAAATTTCTTAGCCGTGTAGACAGGTGTACAATAGTGGTATCTAAAAACGTAGAATAAAGTAGAAATCACAATACTTCAAAAATGATTCCTTGTTAATCACCAGAACCTTTTATATTTGCCAACTTAGTTTATTGAGTCAAATCAGAATGATTTGTGTCGGTTCATATACTTTCGTATTCAGTAGTCTATTAACAATCGTAAATGGCTAAGGATTTTCCTCTCCGCTTAGCTAAAGAGGTTAAACAAATACTCACTCATAAAAGTAGTTAGCCATTTTCGAATGTCTTTAGTTTTCTTGTCGCTTAAGATAGTTTGAAGTGGCGATAATCAGTGTAATATGTCGAGCTAATCGTTGCAATATACGCTCGCTAGTGCTCGAAAAATGAGCTTTGAGAAGTATTATAAGAATTGTTGAACCTCAATCTAACCACTTCATGTATATCATTCTTACATGGTAACTGGTTTGTAATTGTGGTAGCAATTTTCTTATATCTTTACTGGTAAGTCATTCAGGATATTTTTAGAAGTGGTATATTTAACAATTCGCATCTCGTATATAAATGCTGTCGAATAGATTTACTAAATGGCTAATTATTCTTTCCACAGATACCTCAGTTTTTATGTTATCTTGACTTGTTTGATATTTCCTCACATTAATTCTTGACGCATATAAACTATAAGGGGTATTTTAACTAAACGGCTTTAATGAAACCCGTTAGATCTTGTTTTCCTTACCGTGGTTGCTAATTTTATCTTTGTTATTTAGTGAGAAAATAATGAATTCCCTTATTTTTTAAAACTTGGTGGAAATTAGGAATCCAGGAGAAAGTGTATATCGTCAATGTGTTTGCTTCACGTGTGATACGATTAATAAACAATGTTAGGCCAATGAAATAGTAGATTCTGGATAGTACATAACGGTGTGCTAATTGGCTATTTTTTGCCATTATTATTTTTCTAGAACAGTTGTAGTAAAAGTCAGAGAGACATAAGTGTGAGTTCAACGAAAGCATCAAAAATATGTTTCGAAGACAAATTTGTATTGAGTAATATACTGTATGTTAACGAAATTAAGTCCGCATTAAAGATTACCTAGTGATTACGGCACTCAGTTATACACATATTCAGAAGAAATGTAGTTCTTTTCGTTCCTAGCTCACATTACTCGAAAGTTTACAACTTCTTTATAGTGTATTGTTTCTGGCCGTAGATTGCCGAAAGATGTAGCATTTCAAACGATAAGTTGGACAGAGTTATACTATTGCAAATAAACTAGATAAGATGGAAAACCTTACTAAAATCTAGTGGTATTGTAATAAAAATAATATACTTATAAATATCCCAATCCATAGGAAAACTAAATTTTTAAATTTTCCGACTTAATTTTCCTACTCATTTGGACATTACAAATATATTGTTATTGATAATAACAATATACTTAATACTCAATTTATTTGAAATTATCAAGTCACACCTTGGTAATGATACCTAATGGTATTTTGTTTCCGAGATATTATATCATATCTTAATGTTACACTGTGATACGAACACGCTTGTAAGCAGCTGATGGAAAACCATAAGATAAAATGAATTCATATTATTTTGCTTCAATTGTTGTTTTGGCTTTATTCAAGTTCGTAAAAGAAACCAATCGTATGAAAAACTTATTTATTCGATTGGCTTGTAATTACTTTCTAGCAACATAGTTGTTTGCTTAATGGCGTAATGTAAAATAAACTTCAGTATGTGATTAAAATACCCCTCGTGTGAACAACAAAACGGAATACTTAGTTATCACGAGATGGGTAGTTTAAAAACTCTACTCACCTCTACAGACAAGTGACCTTGTAAAATCGGATCATTCGTCTCATTGGATAAAGGTGCTTAAGAAATCCGCTTCATTGAGGCCATTCCCATTTTTCGCATTTCACGAATCGCAAACCAGGACGATGTGTTCATGACAAGAATCAATCTGTCTACTAAGTTTATTCTTAACTATGCGTTATTGAGATTTAAATGTTTGTTCTATTCCCATGCTCATGTAAAACTGGTTATTTTTGCGCCATGGAACTTTGCTTATAGTATTTTTTTGTCTATTCATCAAGCTATCAAAAACACCGTTCAGTTACGTTGGTTACCAGATAAGATGGCGAAGCTTAATGATTCTGGAATTCCGTTATTCAATAACAAAAATGGGAAGAATCGTAAAACAAAACTCTGCTGGATGTCACTTAACCATCCAGATGGTTGTCCATACACTTCTGAATTGTGTGACTTTGCCCATTGCGAAAATGAAATCCTCATAAAAATCGGTTCCATAAAACAATAAACAACAAAGCATTTTCAACCAAATAACGTCTTTGTTTTCTCTCCATAATGTTTTCGTTACGCAATGAATGTAGCTTATGAACTGTGTGCTGGCAAAGATTTTGGTATTCCAAACTTGTTTAGAAGATGAAACTGCACTAAGAACTAATTTTATTCTTGATACTACTTATAGAATGAATATAAAAAGTAAATAATTAATAGAGTAACATTTCCCATACAGAGTACTAGATTAGTTTAATACTTCACATCATGAAGTGTTTATGTATCAAAGTAATAAACAAAATAGTGACATTTTTAATATACCAAAATAATGTTTAAGAAATATTGTCCATTGTGACTGAATCATAATTAGTTCATTTCTGATTAGCCAGCACTATAGCCAGGAGGGCCATGCGAACATGTGTTCCATACTCCGCTTGGCGGAAGTAAGCTGCTCGAGGGTCGGAATCGAATTTGGGGCTGATTTCTCCAACACGAGGTAGTGGGTGCATTACAATCATTCCTCTAGGCTTGGCTAGTGTCATCAGTTCAGGTGTAACAATGAATTGGTCACGCCGAGCATCTCTGTCATCACTCATTCTTTCTGTTTGCACACGTGTCATGTAGAGAACATCGGTATCGGGAAGTGCCTCCTCCAAGCTATGAATAAAAAATAATTTATTAGTTTAGTTTCAACTTTAATCCTGAATAGAATCTTGGTTTACACAGTTGTGTATTATGGTCGTCCAACGCATGATCTGATGTTCGTGATAGGCTTTAGGAAAGATGGAATGCATCGAATTGTATTTCCGCATCTCTGGCTTTACAGAATATTTAAATAGAATAGTTTTTATAGATACAAACATTCACAGAAATTGTAGTCAAGTTCAAACTAAACCTACCTAGTCATCTCTTCTTGTGGAATACCACGATCAGCAACATACGATTTAACTTCTGGTGGCATCTTAAATTCATCTCTGTGAGTAACATAACGTAGTTTGACTTTATATAAGCATAATAATCGAGCCAAACTATGTACTGTGCGTCCATTAGCGAGATCTCCGACCATAGTGATAGTTAAACCATTCACTGTCCCGATCTCCTCTCTAATTGTGAAAACATCGAGGAGTGCCTGAGTAGGATGCTCGCCTATTCCATCACCTGCATCGATAAGAAGAAAAACATGAAACTTTAGGTTCAAAAGACGAAATACTATAGGTAATATAGGTTAATAGTGACAAAAACACGTTTTGTTTGTTTCAAGAACAAGCTACCTTTATAATTCAACCATATATTTAAAGTAGTCTTCGTTGTAATCCCAGATGATTTCACAGAAATTTGCATCCTCTTAAAAGTCGAATATTATCATCATACTGTGATTGATAAGTATTAGTACCAAGAATTAACAACACCAGATAAAGGTTGTTTTCGATAGTAAGAATAAAAGTATTATCTAAATATCAAAGGCTTTGTGACTGGTTAAATTTTTTGCTCAAAGAATAAATAAAAATCTTAATTTTAAACAAGCGTAGATAGCAGAAAAAGAAAGATCAAATAACTTAGTTAGAAGTTATTAAGATCTTATTGTAACTCAGCGTTCCAGATCCATTAAAAGCAGTGTCTGGTCGCACTTATTGCGGCGTAAAAATCAAGGAGAGTGTCGTATACGTTGAGAAAAAACGAGCTTCAGCCATATGATATAGTTTAATTACTCATTCCACAATATCAAGCACCATATAAGGCATACGATTGTTTCCTACAGCGCTCCATTCATTTGGCGGTGATAATACCCTGTCCTGAGTAAATAGTCAACAAAAAAGGAAGTCTTTGTAACAATTGTCGACGATTCTATGCATCAAATATGAACAATGTCTCTTGTACTTTTGCATAATGACACATGAAATAGCAATTTTGTTTTGGCCGTTTGCATTTGATGCATCATAAAATGTAAAGAAAAGTATTTCTCTAAACAAAGGAATTTTAATTTTATCATGATAACATCAAAGATCCTAATCACTATTTTCAGGTAAGTTATTAGTTACAGTTTACTTAATGATAACGCGGCTGCGATCACTTTTTTGTTTGTACTTACAATAGTTCACTATATAAACAACCAAGTTTTACGCCTCCGTTATGACATTGTTTTTGTCATTATATGTTATTATTTTTAATAAAATAACTAATCGATAAGACTTTCATCTACATAGTACATTTAATATTCGCGAAATATTAATATATTATCATGGGATAAAGTTATCCATAAGCAAATCTTAGAGAAAAATGCCGAAATTCTGTCATGTTAAATAAAATAAGTGATGAAAACTTTACCGATCTTAGTTTGGATTCGTTCATTTCGGAGTATACTGAAAATTTTGTATTTATTCAGGACATTTAGTTTTGTAAACAGAAATAATTAATTTTAGTTTAATACTGTAATCAGATTACAACATATTCAATTGAAATAGACACAACTCACCAAGAATATAAAGACGATATGAACTAACCTGCATTTATAATTGGTTTGTGTACTATTGAATTTGCTAAATCGTGTATAGCACCTTTTCCAGGATGCCTAATTACCAAGCAATCACAATAACTGGCCAATATCCGTACAGTATCTAAAACAGTTTCACCTTTTGTTGGGAGCTGGTAGATTCTGAAAAATGCATTACAGTGCCACCCAGTCGTTGCATTGCTATAGCAAATGAATTAGAAGTACGCGTACTTGGCTCAAAAAACAGATTTCCCATTACCTGATAAAGAATTATGCAAAGTGAAGAGTTAAATATACTAAAGATTTGGTGAAGTATAAATATTTAGTGATTTGTTTTTATTTAATAAAATATGTATTAAAGTTTTACATACTTTTCCACGGCATATCTGATCTAAAGGTTTGTTTTTATTTAGAGCAACTCTAAAACTATGTGCTAAGTTATACAACCGACGAAGATGATCTCTCGAGAAATCCAGAGAAGAAAGTATATGCTTCCCTGATAAACCTTCTAACCACATACTTGGAAGGGTTTGGTGAGTTTGAGGTAGTTGGGCAGTTGGAATCAGACCAGATGCAGAAGGTTGGTATGCAACAATTGGACTACGAGGTCCCTCATCGCTTTGAGTGGTAGCTGGGATCGGTGTAGCAGGTTCATCTTGAGACTGAAGAACAAATACAGATGGATATACATACGAAAAGTAAATATTATTTATCAGTTTTACGAACAGATATTTTCATAATAATAATGGCAATTATGTATTTCCTTATAGAATAAGTTATGAAATGAGATCCATGTTGCTACTAATCGATTACTTTCCAATTTCAGTGAATATTTCCTAAGGAAGTGAATCAGCACTAATTGGGAAGTGCTGTATAAATTTAAAAAGCTTCTATTAGGAATACATGATTTGCTTTTCTATTAAATAGATATGAAGCATTACAAAAGTGGTTTTAATGGACATATTACCATTAACCGAGTTCGGGGGTAACAACCATTCAGTATTAATCTGGATAACATTCCTTTGCAAGTGAGTAGTTTATTTCTCAAAATTGATCGGAAATGTAAAACGATTGTTGTCAGATACCTCTATTAAAATTGGAATTATTTACCCCGAACAAGCGAGTAACCTTGGTGAGTTTAAAAGTTTTTCACCAAACGCTTACTATCTGGTTACAAGAAAATAAATGGTAACACAACATTCATGTAGATATATGTAGTACTGAAGTGAACAAGAACATGGGTGGTGACAATCGGACGTATTAGACACAAAATTACAGAACTTGTTAATAAAATCTAACAATCATAAAGTAAATGATTAATTTGCAAAATGTCAACCAATTGTCTCAAAATGACTCAGACTTCATTGTTCTTGCATTTTCATACAAATTGCATCCTGTTTCCATTCTTTACTGTTCGATCCTCTTGTCTCTCTGCTGCCAGACCTTCTGTTCACGACTAACATCATATACTACTTATTTCAATATAAGTAGCACACACCACAGTACTAGCTACTTGAAAATACCACATCTTAAGCTGCAAACTTTTCTTGTGCTTAGCTTCACGACGTTGTTAATTTTCAAAATCTAATGGAATGAAATTTTATCAAGAATTTATCGAATTGTTTAAAGCAACAGATAAACTAGATAGTAAAGTCACGAATATGATAAAATGTCCCATGCCTTGGAATAATAATTTTCAAGAATACATAAGTGTAATCAACGATAATTGTACACAATAGGTAACTTACTACCTGAACACGTTCATTAATTGAATTATACCGGTTTCTTAGAGTAGGAGAACCAGCTGAGACAGGAATATGTTTCAAAGAAGTGTCAATTGTTAGTGGGTCGTAAGAATTCTTAGACAAGGATGTGTCTGACGACACATCTTTACCGAAACCAGGTTCTACCAAAACTAAAACAGGACAGAAAAAGTATTTATTCACTGGAAATGTATATATATATATAAGAAATGTAGTTCAATTCAATAACTTTCAACATTAGAGACGAGGGGAAAAGACAAGTTGAATTGCGAGGAAATTTTATTCAGTTGGTTCTCTTTATGAATTTGAGTAAGACCAAAACAACGATTGAGGTAAAATAATGACTTCATATTTCGTGATTTATCAGCAGCTTAAAACCATATCTCGTAATAAGGTTTAACACTCAGTCAGAGACTGAGACTGACTGACACTGGAGTATAATATAATCTGAGATAACATACATTGGTGACGAAAAGAATTGAAATAATGATTATCTACACAATATAAGTGAATAAAAGTGTGTGAAGTCATTTGTAGAGTGGATGAAAGAGTACTTGTTTAGAAATTGGAAACTGATAAAACGGATTACTGAATAATTGTAGTAGGTTTGAGGAGTTTACATAAACATGGGGATTAGGCGAGTCTATCATTTCATCAATAATTTTTATTGTTTTTCTAAGACCATATTCCCAGCAGTGGAGAATAAAAAAATACCCTTTAATATAAAATTTAGGAAATGGGAGCAGCGCATAGTTCATCATACAGCTTCCAATCAATCAGTGATACACGACCTATAGCATGGCACATGCGTGCACTGAAACTGATAACATGCGAAATAATAAAAATAATAATTTTAACTAATTTTCTGGGATTCGCATAGGTATATAGATATTTATTTAACGAGGAAACTCAAAATCAAATTATTATTAACACAATTTAATTGATTTATCCTCCGTGGTGATTTAATGCCATTGTTTACTGTGCCATTTTATAACCCATGCACTTATGTTGTAATGAATTTCCCAGCCACACAGAACCACAGGCTAGCTATTGCATTACATGTTTCTAGCAAAACTATCTTTGAGAAATTAAACAAAAAAGAGGTGCATTAATCAGCAGATGAGGTCACTCATATTGGCAAAAAATATTAGCAGAAGTATGAAATACTCTTAATTATAACTTAACACAGCGACTATGATTATGTTTAAATACTAAGCGATAAGGCTCACTGATTCTGCATCCTCTTGAGATAGTACATAGCTTCCTGTATCAGAGTAGGTAATACATAATTTAAACGCGTGACTTTGAACCGACCAAACACGACATCCTAAATATTACTGCCGAGAAAAACTATGATTTAAACGGTGAAAATAAAAAAAACGAAAAGATTAGTCATACCACGTCCATCGACAAACGCTAGGTGACCTCGGAGCATGACCCGACGAACTTGACCACGAACAACTCTTCCAGCGAAAGGGCTCCAATTAGCACGAGTAAAGAATGAAGGTGCAGATTCTGATTTGGTTTCCCATGGAGCCCCAGGGATACGCCATTCAGCACTCATATCCACTTCAACCCATGTTTCGCCATATATCCCCCGACTAACTGAGTTTACAGCTTCATATAAAGTGTGAGCAGTCGGTATTCCAAATATTTTGCATGGATTTATATACAGGCGTTCAATCAATTCAGTAAGCGTAAGCCGACCATTATACATAGCTGTCAGTAACAACGACAACATTGTTTCCAAACCTGGAAATCCAGGAGGTGCCCCTGACACTTTACTCTTTTCAGAAATAGTGTGTGGTGCATGATCAGTTGCGAAACAATCGATTGTGTTAATGTTAGCCCAAAGAGCGTTTATATCATCTGCTGTACCCAGTCTTGGGCGGACTTCATCTGGAAAATAATATGTGAAATATTTTTAACTATTGACGAAATTATGTCATGATGAATGTCAGTTATATTCATAACTAACAAATCAAATCGTTGTTCAAGCGCCCACCACGTTGATCTAGCCTGATGTGTCTGTAAACTATCCCTGTTGCATGTGACCTACGAATCATATTATATTAGTGTGATTCATAATTTTATTCATTTCGATAAGACACGTAATACTGGTTGGTATGTTTGTGCATTTCACTTAATAACTGTAATTTCCTTAATCATTATACTAATCTAATTGTCTTTACTTTCAGAAACAGATGAAGTTTAAAGTAAAGTTGCCCTTGTTCTGACTATAGCTTTTACATAGACTCTGTGCTCGTCAGTATCGCGTTTACGGTTCTGGTGGTATATCTGTAGGACAAATTAAATCCTACAATGAATATTACAGTTGTAAGTCATGTGCAACGTAGAACCTGGTACAGGTATACGTCAGTTCAGGTTGCCCCGCTCCATTAGCAGAGCGTGATGAAATTGTCAAAACAAATCCACAAGTAGTACAGGTAATAACAGTTCTATTGGTGGCAGAAAGCTTAAGCATAACAGATATGATGCGGTAAGGGAATATGGATTAGTGGAATAAAAAAATTTACAAGTTCATTTCGGAAATTAGGATCTAAGGGAAAACTAAAAGTGAATGCACCTGCGAGATGGCGGACGATTCTGGGTCATGTTATCCAAAGTATCCGACTGTTGGTTGCAATAATTACGTGGACCCCAAACAGGTAGTCTGCACTTACGTTCAACAGTCAGTGTCTTCATGGGTTAATGTCATGTCTTGGTTTAGCCACCATTAGCTTTCTTCCAACTTACCCCTACACTAGGTAACATTGCCCGTCGAGGTCGTCGGTGCATGGGAATACGTAATACATATCCTGACCATCTCAGTCGATGAAGGTTCACTAGAGAATCAATCGATTTTCCACACATCGAGTGCTCTACGTCTAACTTTATAATTGCACGAGCAATGGATTAAGTACACATATGATCGAATACTAATAACCTACCAATATCCTCTATATCTAAAGGCCACCGTTAAAGATATTCAGGAGAACCAACTGAATACACAATTCACTGTAAAACACGCTGGTTAGGACTACGGAATAACATCACTTGAATACAGTAATCAATTACTTTCTGAGGAATTATTTCTATCCATGATGTATTTTTGAGTTGTTACATTTGTTAATTTTGATTCAGTTTGTAAACAATATTACTTCCAAGCAATATTACCGTCAATTACTACCTAACTATTAACATAATCCAATACGAAATGCTTTCGCAGAAAGGCAGATTTGCAAAGAGATTTCACTCATGAATCGCTTTTCATTCATGGAACTAAGAAACCGCATCAAAGCCTAACAACCCTATAAGAATTATATATATGTTATTCGAAGATAATCTATTTGTGTTCACAGAGTTGTGTAGAGCTTTGTGGAAAATTATCATGTAAGGCGATGATAATTAGATGGGTACATCATGAATCTCACCGCCACCATCTCAGCTTACATTTGTTATAAACATACAAATAAGTGAATCTTGGGTTATTTCCAACTCCCTAAATATTTATTACTTCTCAAAATAAACACCATCAACAATACGAAAATCAGCATGACCATCAGATAAATCAGGAGTAGGAAAGTAGCAGAAGCACTAAGGTCAGATACAGAGGTAACTTCAAAGATGCCCCGCATTCTCTACAGAAAGATTTAGAGGAAGAATCAGTACTAAAAAGCTAGAAAAGGGGATATTTATCAACATATCGAAAAAAGACGTTAGTAAGAGTTGGGACTAGAGAGGTTGCACACTACTGTCAGCTTCAGACTGTCTAACAGTGTTGTTGAACCGAATGAAGGACTCAGTAGACGCTCAACTTAAAGACCAACAAGCTGGCTTTTTTAAAGATCAATCATGTACAAAACTGAGCAGCAATCAAAATCACGTTTGATGGTGCAGCACTGGAAGAGGTGGAGCGTTTACCTAAGCACCATTATCGATAAACAAGGGTGATCTGATGCAAATATGAAGGTATGAACTGGCAAGGCAAAAGCAAGATAAAAGAACTCAGCCAACACCAAAGACAGAGTTTTCAAGACAGTTCTGTTTTACTTGGAAAACTACCAAAACCATCACCAAAAAAGTAAATATATTTATAAACGGCTGTTTATGCAAAATAATCTAGATCCTTTGGTTAGAGACCATCAGCAATTACCTATTTTGGCAGAGAACAAACTAGCTGCTAGTTAAGGAGGGAATAAAGAAATAAACGTTGGAGGTGGAAAGGACACGCTATACGAAAACCATCAAACTACCACAAAGCAAGCCGTGACTTGATGTCTTCAAGCTAAATGGGTGAGAGTGAGAATAAGGATCACAGAGCTGGGAATCAGTAATATCATGAATACCTCTTATCAACAAGTGGAAAGGAGAGCTTAATACAGCGTTGACCGGAAATCCCGGATGGGTGGCCTATGCTTCAGCAGGAATAACAGACTTAAATAAGTAAGGATTAAATTAAGGGACGCTTTGTTAATAATAAGTATATCTGATAATCACACAAAAAGCAAACGGTACACCGAGTTATATACATACTACAGTGACTGATATAACGATGATCTTATAGGCTAAAAGTAAATTCATACTAGTATTGTAACATCACATAACACGATGATTAAGTAGAAAACCAAACAAAGTCATCACTCGCAGGATTAATTTAAAGTACATTAGCTTTAAAGATTTGCAATGAAAATTAAGCACTTCAGTTTAGGGATGAGTAGATTTCTGCTTATAAAAAATTTACCGGTGTTCGACTAGTCACAGTTCCAAATAAAGTCAAAGTAGCAAATCGATGCTGCGTTTGGGGTCTAACATAAACAATGGTTTAAAATAAAACCTGACTTTAACTTATCAATTTACAATGTTGATTAATCATTTGAAAGCATGTAGACATTGTAGTTGTTGTAATCCAAACAAAAAGTCTTAACCAACCGTCATCTACCCGTCCCTAATTAGCGTAGTAATTTATTGACAATAAAACTCGAGTGTTCTGATCGTGATGAACTTTTAACATAGGATTAAAATTCAACCCTTCACCTCTTAATCGAATACTTTGGATATGCAAATAATTCTTAAAATTTGCAAATTAGTATTAGAAAGAGTGACTAACTATTATGTCAACAGCATGATGACTTTCAACAAAAGAGAAGTAGACTTACTCCAACCACCTTCTTGAGGTAAGTCATCTGCAGTTAAGAATAAATGATGTGGACAAACTTCACATGTGACTTTTAGACCACGTTGTTTAGCATCACGAATTAATTCGATTTCAGCTCTACGTGCAACATGACAAATATGTACACTGCGTCCAGTGATTTCTGCTAAAAGAATTACAGCGGCAATGGTTTCACCTTCAGCATGGCAACAAATTGGACGATCACTTGGCCAGTTCTTTAAAAGTATATATATATATATATAGAGAGAGAGAGAGAGAGATATGAAACTTTTTGTTAGAAATGATCAATAAACGCACTATAATAACTAAGTATTTTTTATCAAGATTGAACTTAGTTATTTCTGATAAATTGAGTATAGAGTAGAATGTTAATAATAAAATAACGATATAATTTTGATACTCAATGAATGGGAATCACGGTGAGATTAGTTTATGGACGACCTTTGAGCGACGCCAGACTGACCTTGAGAGTGTCTACCTACTTACTAGGGCTAAATGAGGGTTATAAAGCAGTTTAAAGAATAAGGATTATGATTTGCAGTTGATGGTTAGGGTTAGGAATCAAATTTAGGGTTTTCATCACGAACTGACATCAGATATAATGCCAAGACTCTATTTAGCCAAATGGATGAGTGAATTTCGCGTCGAAATCTAAGACATGTTATCGTAAATCTGATTGGTTCGTCCATAAACTATAGTCTCACCGAAATCACATTTTTAATCTTCGTAACTTGATGTAAGCTACCTTTTCAGAATAGATAAATGAATGACCGATTCAAATTAACACAAGTTCAAATAATATAAACAGGCTAAATATTTAGTTCAATCAAAAAGGGGTCAATGTCATGTCATTTTAACGAAGTGATTCAGTGTGAAGCATCATATTTTTGTAAAACAGCCGACACTGCTGCTGTTTGACTAAAGGAAGAGATCGTTTTTATATCTATGCAGAATTGTGTCCATATATTAGAATCCCATACTAGGACGAAACGATCATCCAGTGCTTCCAGGTCTTCAATGGTAGTCTAACATTGAATTGCTCGTGATTTTAATGGAACTCAACATTCTCTACAACCTTATACTGATTAATACCATGCATTCTCTGGTGACTAGCTTCGAGAGGCAATTCTCAGAGTTCTATTGAGAGGCCGTGGTCAGTGCAGTTGAACTATGTTAGGTTTGAGCAGTTACCCAATGAAGACAATGGAAGATGGTCGCGCGACATCGTGGGTTCGTTGAAGACATACAGTGAAACCGTTCGTGCAAGACCGGAGTTCCTGGGTCCAACTACCGCGTGAGGGGCCGTGCATGTGCACTTCTGAGGAGTCTCATTCAGGGACGAAACGGCCATCTAGGGCTTTCAGGTTTTCAAAATATATCAGAAAGGTTTTTCCAATAATAGAGAAAATTGAGCAACTGGAGTGTTTCGAATGATAAATAAATCCCTCTTCCCTCGATAGAACGGTTATTCATTCGACTTGGACCGTTCAAACAGAAAACTATACTTAGTTCTACTGTTTTCTCACATCACTAACACACAAATACACACGGTAATGTCTCACAGGATTACCTTGACTAAAAATGACATAATCAGCTGTATTCTGATATTGGTTGAACTATATAGTCTGCCTGTTCCTCCGTACTTTTTAATGGCTTAATTTTCAATCTCAAGAAGTAAGTTACACGAAATGTCAGAAATTCTAGTTTCTGTTCATTGATGTATCACAAATATGTTATTATTTTATTATCATACTAATAAATGTCAACTACATATTTGAAAGTCAAATACAGCTTATGCTAATTTTTAAACATAGTTAATGTTTAGTAGGACCAGATAAAATAGCGAGGTACAATTCGTTTCGTTTTTTTTATTAAACAAAAGAGATGGGTTTAAGCAGTAAAAAAAGAACGGAAGTGTATAAGTGGGGGGTGGCATAATTCCATTGCACTAATATATCAATAGTTGTTTACCATATACAACCTATTTTGGTGATGAAGGTATGCACTGGTCATAAAAGGTTACTGAATACATTCCATAAAAATGTTTTACATGAAAGAATGCAGACAAAGTATGCATATCTGCTATTGAAATTATCTGAAATATTAAAATAATGAGCAATATATGGTTGTGGAGAATGCTGAGTTTTTATTGAGTTCACGAAATGATAAATGTTAGACCAACATTGAAAACCTGTATGCACTGGACGGCTGTTTCGTCTTAGCATTGGACTCCTCAGCATTATGCACCCACTATCCTGCACGCGGGACTAAAATAATAGATAATGCGATGGAAACAAAAATGATGGAATTAACGTGGAAAATTCTTTTGAGTTGATAGAATCTTAATGATAGTTAAAGTTAAGTACGATTACTTACTTTCTACTGAGATTATATAAGCTAGTCTTTGTTCCTAATTGAATAACTCCGGGAATCACTTTTACTTTGGTAATCGCTTTATATCTTTCTATGAATTAAGTCTTTCTTCACGTAATATATCCATATACACAATCCTTGTTTTATACATTAATACTATTGAGGGGACTACTTTTATGAATTTGGTGTTCATCTTGTTGTGCTAATGAGGTGTGGCAACTTGGACCGATGCATGTACGCGCCTGGTCCTACGTTGTAGCTAACTGAGTAATAATTAACACATACAATAGATTTAGACTTTTTAAAACTGTGCGACAACTCAGATAGGCTAAACTTATCAAGAACCATGGTCGCTAATTGCTTATCACTAACATTCATTTCAAGTAGATGAGTTACCTAGTACTCTACATATACCACGTTTCTGTTTTTTAAACCCCTAATATTGTCTAGTTCATAAATTAGAAGGGATTCCAAGTAAAAGAAACTCTATCATGATAAGTAGAAATCCATCGAGTAATTAAAGCAGTCGATCATTAATTGTCATTAAATCACTGTTTTTGATTTAAATTTTGTTCACTTTTAATTAGAAAATGTATGTGAAGTATACGGATTACGTATGAATTTAATGATGGACAGCAACATTATGTAATTTTGTAGTGATAATTAGAAAAAGCATTCCAATCGTACGGTGCGATTGATAATATAAAGATATACCTAAAAAGCTTTTATTTGATTTTGTATCGAGTGGTTGATTTGTACAGATATTTTGTAAACATTTGAATTTGCATTTGTTGAAAATTCTGGCAGCTGAAAACATAAACAAGTAATGTCTAAACAGGGATGATGGAGAAGACTTGCAGCTCAGGTAGATGATTTCAGTTGAGTTTTGTTCTCTCAGCTGGATGGTTCAGTCATGGAGCTTTTATTGCTATTCTAAACAACAACATCAGCACAAAATTCAGGTAGAGGTGAAGTATTCGAATTTTTTAATATATGACTCACAGATTATCCTGTTGAACTCGATCTTGAAAGATTATTGTTGACCTGCCATTGTCCGTATCTTTATTTCGATTTTATTCCCCTTGGGTCTGATTCTTGTATCCATGTTCTATTTAAGTGGTTGGTAAATTGGATTAATTTCGATGTGCTTGTTGATTGCTCATAGACCTGGGTACCAAGCTCCTAAAAATTTTCTGGTGTTCTTAGTATCAGCTCTATCCGAGATTTCAGTGTTTTTTCAGTCGAATGTGTGTCCAGGATTGGCCACATCCATAGTAATAAGCAAATATATATCATGGTGTTTGACTGCCAGTTCATGTTCATGCAGGGGAAGATAATGAGGACCTCCACATTGTCCGGTGTAGTGTTTATTTTAGTTGGAACAGTTCATTTTGTTGATGTTCACTTTTTTGCCATTTCATCCTTTGGTTTGCTTGCCATAAGATTGATTACAGTGATTTTGACGGTTTATACACTACATCTATTTCAAACGGTTTTGATAATCTCGTAATCTCTTATACATATCGTAGAATTATTCGTTTGTTGGTTTCCATATTTGCTTTCAGTTTGGTCAATGAAATGGAGTTGACGTTTTTTAATGAAGCTGAGTGGATAGCCACTCTTTTGAAAGATATTTTTCTTCATTTTTCGGCTCTATAAGTGTGCTGTTGTGTTTTCAACCTTTTGAAAAACGTTTGTATGAAGTTAATTTTGCGAGTTATCGGGTTGTTGCTACTGCAAATGAGAATATGATCTGTATGGGTTGGTTTCCGATAAACATTAGTCCCCAGTTTCCCTGTGTTGATTCTTGTGATCAATACAATCAAGAATTATAGTTTGTTGTTGGTCTCCTTTGCCGTTGTGAATTTTATTTCATCGAATACGTTGTTGATCAGACTGTAGGTGTTTTCCAGCCTGTCTTTTTTGATGATGACGAACGTGTCGTTCACATAAAGAATCCACATTTTCGGCTTGATTACTGGTAAATTCGATGCTTCCAATCTCTGCATCGCTGCTTCTGAAATAGGTTCTGATATTGTTGATGAAACTGGTGTTCTTTTCATCTGTTTGTATATTTCATGGCTGAATTGAAAATATTTTGTTAACCATAAATCGATGAGTTCTAATAGACTGAAGAAATTCGAATACGTCACCTCTACTTGAATTTTGTGCTAATCATGTTGTTCAGAAGAACAATGAAAGTTCCATGAATAAACCATCTGGCTCAGAAAACGAAAATTCACCAAAAACATAAATGATTACTGTATAGTGTTATTTTTCATTTATATGTCAAATAAACTAACGTGTTCTCCTAAAAAAATATCCTGAATAATGAATTATACTCTATGCTAAATTTGTCAACATTCAAATAATATAGATAATAAGAGCTTCAGTACTAATACTGTCAGTTGTAGTGAAGAAAAAGCTTTGTTGCGTCTTACTCACTTCAAAATGTTGACGCCAAATATTAAGCTTATTGCCTAACGATAAGCAAGTAAATGTTTCATTAAGATACATCTTGAGTCCAACAGCTTTGTGTGACAGTGAGCTAATAGTGGAAGCATTTTCCGATGATGCGCCAACATAAAGACCATAATCACAACACGCTTTAGATGTTGCATTTCTGCTCATAATGTTAAAGGTATCTTCATCAACTATTGCAGGATCAGTGTTTGGCATTGCTAAGATAGTTACTATACCACCCGCAAGCGCAGCTTTAGTAACAGATGTCCAGTCCTCCTTATATTCCATTCCGGGATCCCTGTATAAGTAATAGACAAAGATGAAAATAACGAGTCATCAATTTTTAAAATACCCAGAGAATAGTCATGAAAATATTTCATTAACTGACTTTTTCATCAGCCAAAACCCATATCATTTGTGGAGGATCTTATAATAGATGAATTTACAGTCAATCACTTTATCACGTAGTTAAATTAAATGGTCATAACTTTTACCTTGTCAGACAACTTGAAAGGATTATTTGGGAAAAAATATCGAAACCTATTTAACCTGTAAAACATTAAACAGAAAGCATTTAACCTGTATGTGAAATTAATGAAGTGATCGGAGTTTCTTGATGATGACTGAAACAACCTATAGTGAGCGTAATGTTCGTTGACTGACATTCTAACATCCAAGACAGGTCAGTTGAAGAGTGCTTAGGACCAAAAATAAAATAAAATATAAGGTCCATAAATGATGTCTTACTATCGGTGTGGAGAACCAACACATTTCAGCCATCATCTACATGGAACTTTATTAGTGACTTCTGGTGATCCCATTGGTATGATTCTAGTTTGGAATCAGAAAGTGTAGTGAACATTCGTGAATTAGACTAACGACATAGTCTGACTTGGGGACACTGAACAGAGCCCCCAAATGCACTGGTACGGCCGAGAGTGGAGAGAGTCCGCTCTCCCTCTCGAAAAGCTCTCACACTGCCACGCGTATATAGCCTCTGCCAGGGAAGTCCTACTCACTGCCTTCTCGTGGCAGGGGTGTTGTTTACAAAAATGAGAGGACGAAAAGCGAATGTCCGGTGCTTTAACCGGATCCCAAACCAAATCAATGGTGCACATGGGCTCCAGTATCCTGGGGATCAAATGGCGTATGAACCAATTGTTGGTCACCGGCTTCCATGGGACTGCATCTCCTTACGATGCTCCACTGCCTTGTGGATCAGACCTTCAGGTCGAAGGCTCGGGGTGTGGCCCCCTAAGAAAACCACCTGCTTCGGTTTGGGCACCCGGGCAGTATCACAGCCCTAAAACATATCGAATGAGATTTGTGTGGCGCATATGTATTTGGTACCTCTTTGTACCATTATCTATGTGTTGAAATAAATAAATAAATAAAATAAACAGTCAACAGAAACTCAAAGATTGACACTAATAAAACTTTGTTGAGCAGGTTTGGTATAAATTTCCAGCTCTTTCTAGAGTTCATTTCTGGATTTTGATGGTGTGCATGTACAAGACCAAAGTAACTGGGACAAGGAGGGCTTTTGGAGCTGAGTCTAAAGATGTAAATGTTACGGATATATCCAAGGAAGAACTAGCTGAACACTTATAGCCACGTAAGAATACTCGTCTCCAACTAGTTCGATATAGTATTCAACTAGGTGTAAACACAAACATATCTGTTAGCAACCTACATCAAAATGTTTAGAAAATGAATAGTGAAAGTTTGAAATATTTACTGAATTGATTTCTGCAGCTAAATATATTTCGACAGGGTCCGAACGCGATAGTGATTCGAGGCAACTTAAACGTAAACAAAATGCTTGTGTAGTAATTGAAAGCAGAAAGGATGGAAAAGGCAGCTGCAATAGTTAACATAGAATAGTTTTTCAGATTTGGGAGATATATATATGCTAAAAGATCAGCTGTGATTTACTTTCAATCTAGGCGACTGGAATGATAGATTCAACATTTTGTGAAACAGCCTAAATTCGCTCCAGCTACTCTTTCCACTTGCTACTATTTGCAGACACTTTGAACAAAAGACAGATATAAACCGTCTGAATCTAAGTGAATTTTGGAAGACAATAGCTAACTTAAAGCGAACAACAGGACCAAGATAAGTTAGTTTCAAAAGTCTGTATGAATGATGCATTAGCATTACAAAGAGTAAGGGTGAACTCAAAGTTATCTAGCTGGGAAACTGTGCTTAGTGGAATGTCCCAGGGTACAGTTTTGGGGCCAGTGCTATTCCTCTTGTATGTAGATGACCTTCCTCGTCTCCTATCATCATCGGTCTTGCTATATGCTGACGATGTCAAGATATGGAGAACGATACGATGTAAGAGTGATAGCTTAGAACTTCAAAATGACCTGAAGAAGTTATCTGAATGGTCCCAAACATGGCAGTTGCCGATAAATACTTCCAAGTGTGTTGTGATGCATATCGGTCATCAAGGCACAGATACATACACGATGAATAACACTGAGCTACCTGTCGTCCAGACATATAATGACTTAAGAGTTATCGTTAGTCAAGACTTAAAGACTACTGCACACTGCCGTGCAATAGCCGCCAAAGGTTTTAGAACCTTATGGTCAGTACGTAGAGCTTTTAGTCATGTCGACGCTAAAACGTTTTTGACTTTGTATACAGTGTTTGTTCGTCCTAAACTTAAGTACTGCATACAAGCGGCTAGACCCTGCTTAAAAAAGACAATGAGCTTCTGGAAAAGGTTCAGAGAACGGCGACTAAGCTGATTCCCGGAATAGCGAAGCTTCCGTATGAATCTCGACTGGCCAAGCTGAACCTTTTCCCGTTGTCATATCGCAGAACTAGAGGCGACTTGATTACAGTCTACAAATTGCTTAGTGATAAATTTGCACCTAATATGCCCTCATTTTTCTTGTCTTCCAAAACAGAATTTACGAGGACACTCCAAAAAAGTTCACAAGCCGAGAACAAATTACTTGTCAGCTGACTATCGACTTTCCCATCGAATCATCAACGAGCGGAATTCACTACCTCAGCACGTGGTTGAGGCTCCATCCGTCGACTCTTTCAAAAGAAAGTTGGAACAACTGAGAGACCACCATTGCCAGGACTAACATAGGACATCGAGCCTCCTGTCCTTCCCAAACTGAAACTGATTACCATTAAAATTGGTTTAATTACTAATCAGATCTTAAAAACTGGACGCCGTTACACTTGAGTGTTGCGATCGTCCTCTAAGAAAGGAGATCCTTTATTGATAGCCACGGACGAATCACTCAAACTAATATTGCGTCTAAAATATCAGCTTTCTTAATCACCTGACGCTTAAATGTAGAATGGAAACATTGAACCAGAGAAAGCTATATAGATTTTAAACATAGTGGTGGAAGTATTAGGCAAATATTTGTAAGTTAGAAAGTTCTAAAAAGATATATACGGACGTCAGATTTAGTTATATTAAACAGTTAGATTCCAATCACGTTCAAAAAATGTTTGTAAACCTACTGAAAGTTCTTTGTTTGGGTACTATTGGTAAAGCTGGATATTACGGTAAACTACCAATTCGATTAACTGCATCAAGTGCAGTTCATGAAAACTGATAAATTCTCTAGTTTTATTTAATTTTATGAAAGGTATACCTCCAAAAACAACGCTTTTCTATCTGACTTTCCGGGGGTTGATCTCTTACTTATAGAGCTAGTCGGTGACATAGTAGGTAGATAACAGTTTCATTTAGTAAAGTAAATGAGTTTTTTCAATAGCTTGAGCAACAATCTGAGAAAGTTTGGGATGAGTTTGTCTACCACTAATTCAAAAACTCGTCTGTATTAACTTTTAATCTGACTATAGAGATTAACGTAGTCCAACTTGTCAATCAGTTTATTTATCCTGAAAATTACAAGTCTTAGTAAGTTGGTGGCTAGCGAAATCTTGGCACCGATCAAAAGTGTTAATTCACCTACACCAACTTGCTTTGGATGTATAGAGATGAGAATAATGGTGACAAAATCATTAACAAATAAAGATGCATAGTCAGAATGTCAATAACAATCATACACATCCTATTGAACATTAGCCTCTATTTAACAGAACAAACAATTAAAGGTGAGCACATCAGAGGTATCAGTAATAGCTCTGGATAAGTGTTTGAATGTACTACAAAAGCATACTACTTGTTGTTAATTACCATCTTATGTGATTAATATAAATGATTTATTATCTTCACACTATTTTCATCAGGAAAACCATAACCAATTCTACAACAAGAGGTTATATTACTTATAGAGAACAGTTTAAGTCACTTTTTAGTGAAATATTAACATAAAATCTATGCTTATTAGAAAAACGTTTTACATGTAACATTCTCATCTTCAAAAACGCTATTAAATTGATTTACAAAGAACTCATAAACCTTTCAAATCAGAAGAAACAATCTTGTTATGTCCCGATAAGTATAATGAATGGTAACTTTTGGGATCCGTTTATGGACCAATACTAAACGTATATTTTTATCGTATAATTGTTAAGTAACTATACTATGCATATTCATATTCTTCTTATCATAAGCTTTATTTTGAACTATGAACTATTATTATACGTCTCACCATTCTTGAATTATGCCCTGTCTATTAATCACTACCTCTCTCATTCATAGCCACATTTGGTCAAATCTTGTACAAATGTTATTTTCTGTTTTGTGGTACGTTGTGGTCTGTTTGATTGAAATGCTTGAAATAAATAATTCATATCACAGAGGCTGGAATTTGTGTTCTGGACTTAACTGGCTGGGCTAGGCACGAAGCAGGGCCAGTAAGGACTCTAGACTGCCCATACGGGTTTAAGCGTCATTGATCCGATCGATAAGTCACTGTTCTCTAATTGGCGGTATCGTTACGTTATACATTAACAGGGCACGTAGTTCACAAGTTATAACATATCTAATTTACAACCAAATGAATATGATTTGCCGAATATACTGCCGATACAATGTTATTATAAAATAAGGATAACTTCAGTTACACAACGGCTCCATTCATTTGCCATTAGAGCTGGTTTACTGAAGATTCTTTTTAGGCCTGTGCACATTTTACTGACTAATTAAATGTAATCTAGTCAACATAATTTTTAAACTAAATACTAATTAAATAAGTGATTTCATTCGATAAATTAGCTTACTCAATTATTACAGTTTCTATTTTATCGATCCAGATGTTTTTTGAAGGGCATGAAAACGAAATCATAGCATCATCCTGTTAGATTAAGTTATACCCTTATGATATAACTTTCCAGAACGATTTGGGATTTATTTGGTCAATGAGTTCTCAAATTTTCAGAATAGATGATAACTTTAGGTATTTTACCTAAATTTAGTAGATTTTGAATTTAAAAGTTCTACAAATAGCTATTGATCCAAACTAAACACAAACCTTGTTTAACACTATTGAATCAGCACACTGAACTTCAGTTATGCAATAACCATGAATAAAAGAATGTGTAACTGTAATTCAGTTGTTCAGTAACTTGGTTTTTGGCACTGATAACAGATTCTAACATTTATCACTGATTTTGATTTGTCTAATACCTTAGTGCGTAACTTTTACACAAGTGTAATTTCAAAGTGAGTACAATAATCGGTACTTCGTTAACAAACTGAATTAGATATAACTTACATTAGGCGAATGATAAATCATTTATTAACTACTCCGTAATTTTCACCAATAATCAAACGTGTTAGAACGAATGTCAAACAAATTGTGAAACACCTTAAGTCGTTCTAATTAGGATAGTCTAATGGCATGTTTCTACGCAAAACTATATTGCATATTATCAGGTCATCAGTGAATAAATATAAAAAGATACAAGGTGACTATTGCATAAAATATTACCTGGTGTGGACGTGAATATCGATCAATCCTGGCAAATAGATTATTTGACTAGAAGTTATTGAATGCAATGGAAGTAAACGATGAAGGAATGATTGTTTATATACGTTATATTCATTGTCTTCAGATTTTATTACTGTTTTATTTGCATTCTGTCCATGAAAATAACGATAAAGAGCTTCGATTAGAAGTTTAGCCAGTTTTACATCAGTTAGAAGAGGTACATTTGTGTCAACGGCAAGACGTCTAGTTTGATAGCCTAAATGAATTTTATTAACGAAAAAGTTACTAATAATAGATGCGAATCACCAAACAACATGCTGAGTTTCGTAAATCTTGTAACTTGATTAGCTTTTGATTGTAAATCGCTGATGCAAAAAATAAATGTCATATACCAAGGTTAAACCAGAATGAATCTACTACAGGGATTAAAACTGCAATCGAAATCCGTTTACTCAAAGAAATTCAGAGATTTCAATGGAGATTCATAACAATTGCAGTGAAGGTAAGAAAAATATATCCTTTCATATTATATTCGATTTCATTAAAACAGAATTCCAAAATTTGTTCAGCGTCTTACACAAAAAACTTCATTGTATATGACTTTTGAATTATAATTACTATAAACAGACAATCTCATAGCATTACAGCAACGCAGTCTTGAGTATAAAGGAATGTATAGATATTACGTATTTGCTGCCCACAATACTCTGGTACAGTTGAGTCGGGAGGGTCAGCTCTCCCCCTCGATATACTCTCACATGGCCACGCGTATACAACCTCTCTCAGAGAAGTGCTACTCACTGCCTTCTCGTAGCGGGGGTGTTGTTTACGAAATTCAGAGGACGAAAAACGAATGTCCGGCACTTTAACCGGGTTAGTGGACACAGAGAGTTCACCTAGGGAAGTTGGAAAACCCTGATTTCAAACCAATGGTGCACATGGGCCTCAGTATCCTGGAGGAACAAATGGCGTATGAACCTATTGCTGGTGACTGGCTACCACGGGACTGCATCTCTCAACGTTGCTTCACTGTCTTGTGGATCAGACCTTTAGATCAAAGGCTCCAGGTGTGACCCCTTAAGAAAACCACCTGCTTCGGTCTGGGCAGCTGAGTAGTATCACAGCCCACACACAAATCAAGTGGCTTGTGTGGTGCATATGTATTCGGTACACTTTAGTACCGACATTTATGTGTTCGAATAAATAATATTTAAATAAGCTAAGTTGGTAAGCGAAACTCAAAAAAATAAGTTCACGCTTTTACACAGAAAAAATAACTTGTATTAACTGTTAATGCCTTTATCTCAACCTAACATGAGCATAATCGAAGGCTTCGGGTGTGGCCCCGTAATAAAACCACCTACTTCAGTTTTGAAGCCCGGACAGTATCCCAGGCCTCGTAAGAACCAAATGATTTGTTCGACGCATGTAAATTTGGTTCCTCTTTGTTCCGATGTTTACATGTCTGAATAAGTAAACGTGTTTGTTCCTAAACTAATTAAAGACGATCTATAATATATAAGGTTAAAGAACTCGTATAGTTTTTCATTTCGATGTGTGGGCGAGAATGATAATGATTGGTTGTCTGGTTAGTCAGACATGTAGATAGTCTGACAGATGTCAGAGGAGATACATATTCCCCTATCCTTATTATTATTATTACTCACTCACTATTGATTGTTCATTGTTGTTGAAATGTGTCGGGGTTTTGGTGCGGAAATATATTTACGTTGTGGCCAGGCTAATCACGTGTTCTTGATCTGAGTTGTGTTGAAGTCCTGTAGAATAGACACTGGGAGAAAATCTAGTGTAGATATTCGTCTAAGACGAAGTAAAACTGAGCGTTATAACACATTTATTTCAAAATACCTACAGTAGTTTATAATTCAGTACAGAATGTCCTGTTGCATTTTACATGTAATATTTAATTAGTGTTCCTAATTTTAGACACGGTAAGTCTAGTGTGTGAATTTAAAAATTTTGTATAACCTGACAAAATGAGTGACATGTTGCTCACCACGTGTAACAAATGCTGAAAGACGTCGAGATCCCACTTTTTCAATGACAAACTAACAATCAATGAAAACAGCTTATCTTTAAGATACTGCTGAATTGTACCGTCTTTTGAGTTTGCATCCATATTATTTTGGATTCTAAAAAAAAGTTTAAAGAAACCTAATTTAAGTAAATATATAGCAACTATCCTACAACCAATTTCGATTGTGACTAATTTTCTGTCAAACCCTTTTATTAGCTTACTTAACAGACCATGTTATTTGAACAGTAACCATTCGCATATTTCTTTGTAGCGTTATGACCAATAGATCATATGACAGACTCCAGCTAAAATGTTGATCGCTTAATTATCACTCGATGATTCATCCTCCTTCTCTTGTACATATGTGCTAAAATCCTATTATTAGTCCTTGCTTTGCCTTATGAATTTGACTATAAATTTGCCTATGTAATTGCTCGTATATTCTTACTCGCCTCTCGCTTCGAATACGCTCGATGTGCTTATAGCGTTATGATCTACGCCATCCGCTAATAACTTGTAGTTGTCGTTTCTCATTGCCTTTTGATTTATATGCCGTTGAGATTTATATTATAATGGTCATCGAGGTGATCGATTAACGAAGCCAAGCCACTAAAAATAGTTAAACAGCACCAATAATACGAGGGAAGATTTTCCACAACATATTAAACAACACGAGGCTAAAGCAAGAAATAGAAGATTAATCATAGCATACAGTAAGAACATTTGTTCAAAATTCTCCTGAACATTTTTAAAGAAAGTGAGCTTTGATTACAATGATAAATACCAAAAAATTGAGGAAAATGTTACAAAAAGATCTCACTTATTATCAAAAATGCTTATATCTGATTCTTCGTAAGGCCATTCAACTGGGATGATCGAAATGCCTTGAGTTTGATAGAAGTCAGCAGTTCCACAGCTTCCGTATAATTTGTATCCAAGTAGGTGTAACTGTTTAACACTGTGAAACAAAGTATGACAAAGTTAAAAATAGAAGAATTTTTTTCATTCCGGTGGTAATGTTACTTATCAACTAGAAATCACTGGATTAAAAACCGTGTCAGAACAAGCTGTTTACACTTCATGCAAATATACCTTGAGTCATTGGAATCAAATGATACAGAAAAGTAAATAAAACTCTTTAACTTAAAGAAAATAGGCTCTTATAGAGCACGATGACGTGCGGCCAGCAGAGAAGACAGGAAGCGCGTTTCGTTACATTTGAAATTCGTCAGTTAAACATACACCTAGATTTCAATGTTAATGCTTACAACAGAACTCGAACTCAGTACCTTTTCCATCAAACGCCCGAGTTATCTGTTGAGTAACTCACCTCAGATATCCACTAGCTTGTGCGACAAGTACGAATTTTAATTTGATTTTTAATGGACTGGGTTCTGGTGCCAGTGTGAACATCAATACTGAGATTCACGTACACTCAGCTGACGAGACTTAAGTAGAATGAAATCCGCATCCTGGATTCCATCTATTGTGTAGAAATTTGTGACAAAATGGCTGCATCAAGAGAGCCTGTATAGGAAGCACATATGACAATTAAGACTAATCGAAACGGAAATTATTTTTGTTTATTCTGATTGCACAAATCATTCTAGCTACTAGTGATGTAAGAATGAGTTGATATTAAGGCAGTATTATACAGATGATATCATAAAGTCCTCATTATCATTAAATTTGTTTGATTCTTCTAAAAAACATCTGTTAAACAATAATCTCGAAAACGAAACCCAAATACATACTTAAACAATAAGCATCCTCAACTGAGAAGTAAATAATAAATTTTATTTATAATAGCAGTTGTGTGCTAAATATTTAGCACGTAATTTTTCAATCTCACCAGTTATATAAATAATCGTAGATACTAGAAACAGTGATCAAAGTAGTAAAAATAATCTATAAACTGAATGACATCCATCACTTAGTTCTTGAAGTCAAAATCGTCAAGGGAAAGAACTGATGATCTAATTGTCCGGTATAAAGTTTATAGATTTTGTAATTACAGCGGATACTATGCATACCCAAAAATTTGGTCTGCATTTAATTTTGCTAAGCCTGACCAGTTTTTTGATAATTCGGTTTATCAAGAAATTGTTCTGAAAATATGTTGAAACACATATTCACAAACGATTTGTAAAAACTACTTATCTAATGAAATTCTTGAGTGAGTTCCGATTATGACATTTCCTAAGTTCCGGTTAGTTAGAATTTCCAGACATTATTCTAACTACTGTCAAGCAAATAACATTAGCGCAAACAAACAGTAGAAAATACTTTTCCGAAAGTTTAAGTTTGTTTTCTTAGTAATGAGATGCTAAGTATAACATGTGAAGTGTTTTACTGTTCCCATTCATCATAAAATATAAAAACGTCACAGAAAACACTGGTCTTTGGATAACTTTGATTTAAATGTTTTGACTTGCAGAGAGTAGGTAATCTAAGTTTATATAATTATAAATTGCTTGAAAGGCAGTATTTGAAGAATTTTACTAACCTTGGAAGCATTTCCAATTTATGACGATAACTTCCTATAGATAAGAATACATTATCACCTGGTTTAGGAAGGAGTCCATTGGTATTACATAGTGCAGCAGCTTGTGCTAACAGATAGGCTTCATAGCGATCAACACCAAAACATGCTACTTCACCAGTACTGACCATTTCGACACCCAACAAAACATCAGCACCCAAAAGGCGTGCGAAAGAGAATACCGGAACCTTGGATATATAAATGTTTTTGCAATTTAGATATACATCAGTGAAGTAAAAGTATGGTGTACAATACTATAATTTGTAGAATTTATGGCTTAGCTTTAAATGACTGATATACTGTTACAAAAGAAGGCTTAATCTTACCGAACGCTCGATACCGAATATAAAGGTATATAGCTTCTACAACAGATAGCCTTGTAATATATTTCGTTTTGTTTCTTCGACTAAGAACTTAAATCACGAAATACAAGACTGAAAATATACTTCTATTTACATTTGCTATAATTATTTTTCAAGACGGTTACCGAAGATAGAATAACGATAATAATAGTAAGTACAGACTCAATTTTCCTATAAACCGAGAAATACCTAACACAAAATGACTTTAATCATAGAAGCATACCTTTACACCAACATATCCTACAGTGTTCTCCAAAACGTTGACAGATGGTTCAAGAAAGGACTTGGATAGAGACAATCTTTCCAGCTTTGAACCATGTGTATCAAATGGGGGATGTATGGAATCACGTGCCGCACCAAGAATGGCTCGTGTAGCAGCTGCTATGAAATCATACTTTAGTGTTTTAGATACAAATGGAAAAGAACGGGAGACTCTTAAGTTAGCTTCTATGATTAGAAGACGATTGTCTTTAGCAAGAAGTTGTAGGTTGAATGGACCCGATACTTCGAGTTCATCTGCCAAAGCTCGAACTAGTTCTTTAATAAGCTTCAGAGTTTCTTCGTTGAGGTCTTGAGGGGGTGTGACAAGTGTTGCATCACCAGAATGAACGCCAGCATTCTCCACATGTTCAGAGACAGCCATTGCAACTAGCGACCAGATTGTGCAACAGCATCAACATCTATTTCTTTGCATCCAAAATAAACTGACTTATAACAACTGGGTGTTCTGGACTAATATTTTTTGCAGCAGTCAAGAATGTAATTAATTGATCATGATCATTTGCAACATTCATAGCAGCACCAGATAACACGTAACTTGGTCGAACGAGACATGGGTAACCGACCTGTAAATCAAAATAGAACAAAAAGTTCTGAATGACAGAATATGATAAATAGTAGTACTAATAATAAATATTTTTTATTCACCAATATTATTTTCGTGACTTAAATCAATCTGTCCAGTGAACATGTTGTCGAATTGATTTGTAATGCAACTTCAAGTCTATTCTGGGAGAGGTGAGATCAGTTACCTCCAACTGATTCGTCAATCGGTAAGTCATGACAAAAATAGGACCTCACTCTTATTTTAATGTCATTGATGTGTTTTTAAAAATAATTATTCATCCCGAGACATGAAAAACAACAAGTACCAACTTCTTATCGATATAGATAAACTTCCTTTCAACTATTTCAATGATGATAATAAATTATCTAATTTTATGCGTCACTCTAAATACTCTGCTCAGTTCAAAAGCGTGTTTTGTGCAAATCGTCTTTTAGATCTACGCGCGTTTACTGTTTTAGTCTTTGATTTTGTATCCAAAGCTTTAAATCACGAATTTATAGACAATGTTCCAGAAGTAAAGTATAATAACAGGGGTCGATATCCATTTAAGCTTTATAAGAATTACTGGCTGAGTTCAAACAAGCATCTAATGTAGAACGGTTATTGTCTATCAATACAATCACTGACTGAACTATTTAGTCAACCATAACAAACGATAAGATCTACTAAAAATTGTACGGTTTGTTTGGGACTGATTACAACTCAAATAGATGCCGAGTTGAAAATCTACTTGATCAAATTTTAAAGGGGGTAAATCCGATTTCTGAGAATAATATTTACCCATCTGGAAAGCACTTTTCAAAGAATAGCTATGGATCAATTATTCACGATGGGAATTACGTCATACTGTTGAAGATAACAAGATTATGAACAAAATATAATATCAGAAAATAGAGAAACCTTGCTTACTTCTTCACAGAAGGCCTTGGCTGAATCAATATCAGTGAGTTCTTTCCATCTAGGCTGTGACAACCCGATACAGTCTAACAAACGTGAAAACTTGAAACGGTTTTCAGCATTGTCAATAGACTCAGCACTTGTACCGAGAATAGGTACACCCAAACGATGCATTGGCATAGCAATATTATTTGGTGTTTGGCCACCCATGCTTACGATAACACCTATGGGTGATTCGAATCTATAATTACAGTTAGGAATTAAGGATGACAAACAAAACATAATTAAATGATCTCATAGGAAGTATTTCAGTATCAAATTCAAGTTAAATCTCGAGGGCATAAAAGTGTTTTGTATAAAAGTAGTGATATACAAGAAATGAATTAACAAAACAATCAACAAGTTATTCACATCAAAAACTCGTACTCAAAATTTATTACATCTGAATGATGGCCTGTCATATAAATGTAGTAGCAGTAGTTTTCTTTGTAAGTCCATGGGTCGAGATAAAATATCTCTTTAGTGAATGTTGAACATCATCTGGATCTATTGTCGACAAATTTCTTCAAAGATCGCGCACCTGGATCATTTAAAGAGACCAAAATTCTTTGATATCAGTAGTAACATAAAATCATCCAGCCATTAACCATGGATCACAAGATCTAATCCAGCTTAAGCTACTTCAGTTCAGGCAGATGAGTGATATTACTAGATCTTGAGAAAAGATTTGTGGTTCAAGGCCTAATAAACGGATTTCTAGATTTACTGATTTGTACTAAGGAGAAAAAGACAATAAACAAACATCAACTGCAACACATCACATTTAACACAGTTCCGGATATCGTTTTGTTTATACTGAATAGTTAACCCCACTTCATCAACTGAGTGAGTATAAAACGAATGATACCCAAAAGCATATTGAAATAATATTTTAATAGCATATTCAACCTGATTGAATTGAAGTGGTTGGAAGTTCATCAAACTGAAAATCAGTCGCATCTCATCAGATTTACTTCAAGGGCATTTGCGACCATCTGATCAACCTGCACACTACGATATATATTACAGTTCTGAGGACATCAACTAAAAGTGCCACCAAAAATACAGATCTCACAATACTACATAGTAACAGCTTTTTTGTCAACAATACCTTACTAAACGAACTAACAAGTCGTTAGGACATTTATTTGTTTAATTAGTGAATAGCAACGAACTAGTAAGGTAATTTTTAATTAAGGTACAGAGTTTCATTCGAATCACTTAAGTAATAACGGGACTGCTTGAAAAACCTCTTTTTTCAGAAACGTACACTTTCTGTAAAATAAAACATCAAGTTACTTAAAATGGTTGGATTATATGAGACTTACTCATATATATCTAGGACACGTTCAAGCGATAGTTCATCAAAATAGAGTCGGTCACACATATCAAAGTCAGTTGATACAGTTTCGGGATTACAGTTGATGATAACTGTTTTCCATCCCAGGCGTCGAAGTTCTTTGACACAGCCGACAGCACACCAGTCGAACTCAACACTAGAGCCAATACGATAAACTCCAGAGCCAAGAACCATAATGCTTGCTTTAAGGCAAAATTAAAACAATAGAAGGACAGTGTATATATAGTTGAGAAAATTGTCCTAAATAGTAACTTTCGGTCATTCTCTGTCTGACTAAGGTTCCTTTTACAAACATTTATCTTACACTTAAAAATCTACTAACTACGACTTTGTCCATTTTACATTATTTCACTCAAAATGCAAGTGAATGTCTGCGCAGCTTTAGTGACCAGGCAATGGACATGTATGTTGAGCAGATTTACTTGTTTGCTGTCTTCAAGCATTTATTTGTCTGTCACTTCTAATTTGACTGCTAGAGTTAACTATAGTAGGAACTTTTAGTATTAAATGTCTCGGAATTCATCTAGCTGTACAAATATACACCTAAAAATGTCATTGTCTTGGTGATACTGTCTTTCTTTACACCTATGTTTTATACTAAGGCACAAAACCCCAGCAATACTCTTCAAGAGCAATGAGCGAATACAAAATTTGATTGACATTATGTTTGTGGGATTTTTATCAGATCCACTTAGAGATATTATCTAGTGGTATTGTGGTGACATGACCCATATTGAAGTGTCGTATATAAAAGTTTAACTCCACCTGTAGCCAATCCAGGGTTATAGCCGGTCCTAGGCCAGGGTAAATGAACAGAGTTGAACATGAGTTCGGTAACTCCACCCCGCTGTAAACAACTTTGCCGACAAAACGCCAACTAGATAAAATCATTCAAGAAATTCAGACTGTCCTGGAAGTTGAAGGATCTTCATTTAGAAGAGTTATGACGCCTCATAGTGAAGGACGAGATTCCTGGGAAGCCACGAACTGATGTCCCTACTAATAACTATAGTAACAATCAACACAGATATATGGGATCTTTGGGCAATGTGGGAGACCGACAAGATCAGTAAAATTACTGCGAAAATGACGAGTTACAACTCGGTGGTGTTAGAACAAAGAGAGGAACTGATATAGCTTCGGATCACCACCTATTTGTGGCCAAGATGAAATTAAAGCTAACGAAGCATTGGGCAATTGGAGAAACAGCCTTACGAAGGTTTAGTACAGTCTTTTGCGACATACTGAAAAACTCAGAGAACTCAAGACAGCTCTCAGTAACAGGTTCCAAGTTTTAAAAGATCTACAGAAGGAAGAGGAAATCACTATGGAGAACAACTGGAAATGTACTAAACAAGCTATGGCTTCAACGTGCCAGAAGGCGCTGGATTGCAAGAAGCACCAGTACAACGAGTGAATCTCTATTGATACCCCGAGTAGGACTCAATAAATGAAAAACAAGACGCCAATTAACAACAGCCAAGCAAGAGCGGAGAAACCTGAAGCACAGGTCAGATACACGGAAGTAAACAAGAGAATGAGGAGGTGTAATAGACACATAGGTGGAAATACGTGGGAGACAGCAGAAAAATATGCAAAAGAAGGAAATATAAAACAACTATATGACACAATGGAGAAACTGACAGGGAAATGTTGTAAACCAGAGAGACCAGTCAATAATAGATAAGTCAACTCAGTCACTGAAATTCAGAAAGAGGAACAGGTGGGTGGAACACTGAAGAACTCTTGGATAGATCAGACTCATTGAACCCACGAGACATCGAAGAAACATACACAGACCCTCCTTTAGATGTCAACTCACCAACGATCGAATAAATCAGCATGGTAATCAAACAAATCAACAGTGCGAAAGTAGCAGTAGGACCAGACAACATACCAACCAAAGCACTGAAGTCAGACATAGAAGTAACTGCAAACATGCTCCACATTCTATTCACGAAAAGTGCTTACATACCAGAAAGAAGAATACCACATCAAGATGCGAAAGACAGGAGATCTCAACTAGCATGAGTACTACAGGGGCATCGCACTACTATCGGTACCATGAAAATTTCCCAACAGAGTATTGTTGGACCGAATGAAAGATTTGGTAGACGCCAAACTCTGAGATGAACAGGCTGGATTCCGTAAGGATAGGGCGTGTACAGACCAAATTGCAACACTACTATTGGTTAGTTATTTATTCTCTAATGAAGTGGTTTATATTGAGCCACGAATCGTCGAAAAACCCAAAAATTTAATTCACCTACTCATTGGGATGTTACAAATATATTATTTTTATTAATACTACGGACCATTGTTGAACAACCAATTGGATGGAATTTATGACTACACATCAACTATGAGAAGGCACTTGACAAAGTGGATAAGGGGACCTTGAGGAACCTTCCTCAACATTATGGTGTATCTGAGAAGGATGTCAACATTATGCCGAATCCTTATGACGGACTACACTGCAAAGTCGTGCATGGAAGTCAACTCACAGATGCATTCCAAGTGAAAACCGGTGTTAGATCAAGCTGCCTACTCTCATCCTTTTCTCTTTTCCGTCGTTGACTAGATTATGGAGACCTCCACATCTCAAGGGAAACACGGAATACAGTGGACAGCTTGGATGCAACTAGACGACTTGTACTTCCCAGATGATCTGGCACTTCTATCCCACACACGCAGACGCACACGCATCAACAAATGCAGGTGAAGACAGTCAGTGTAGCAGCAGTCTCTTCAACAGTAGGTCTCAACATACACAAGAGAAAAAGCGTGATCTTAAAATACAACACAACGGGGACTAACCAAATAACACTTGATAAAGAAGCTCTGGAAAAGGTGGAAACTTTCACTTACCTCGGCAGCACCATCGATAAACTGGGACAATCTGATGCAGATGTTAAGGCACGCATTAATGAAGCAAACACAACATTCTCACGTTTAAAGAAAATACGGGACTCAAAACAACTATCAGCCAGAATCAAAGAATCTTCAATACAAACGTAAAGACAGTTCTATTGTACGCAAATGCAACTTGGAGAACTACTACAACCATCATCATAAAGTTACATTTATTTGTAAACAGATATCTACGCAAGATACTCGCGATCCATTGATCGGATACAATCAGTGACAACCTGCGATGACAGAGAACAAATCAACTTACTGTCGAAGGGGAAATTAGGAAAAGATGCTAGAGACTGATAGGATATACATTGCAGAAATCACCAAACTGCATCACAAGGCAAGTCACAACATACGGACTTCTGAAGAAGAAGAAGAAGAAGAAGAAGAAGAAGAAGAAGAAGAAGAAGAAGAAGAAGAAGAAATGAGACGAAGGAGACGAAGGAAGAGATTGCTGTGGGAATTGGAGCCAGATATCAAAGGAATGAATAGCAATCGGAAACAACAGGAAAGGATGGCCCAGGAGAGAATTAGTTGGAGGATCGTGGTGGGTACCCTGTGCTTCACCAGGTGTAAAAGTTGAAACATACCAAATATTGAACAATCATGTGGTACATCTTTTCAAAAACATAGGTTTAATATTTATGTGTTTATAAATAACAAGCAGACAAAATGCTCTAAACACATGTAGTGATAATATGAAAACATTCGATGTCAGGGTAAGAATATTGGAACTATCCACTGTGATTTGAAAATAAATAATGTTGGAAAACTTTAGATAAGAGCTAAAATTTACATTAGGTATATTGATCTGCAAACAAAGAAAACACTATTATTATGGGTTCTGTATTTTTATCAATGAAATATAGTAAATCACTGCAAACAATCAACATCATTAGAATGGGATTTTCAGCAGATAAAATCGACTAAGGAATAAGTTACATAAACTCACATTTTTGCTCAGGTGAGACATCATGAGTTTTGGTCACAGTCATGCACTTTAATAGTAAATCTATCATTTCCTGTGATACTAAAGTTTCTGTTTGACCATCGTGGAAGGATTTGAGTAAATGTTGTATATTTCCTAATGGAATATCTGCATAAGTTGTGTAAAGATAATTTGTAGTTGCAGGCCATTCTCCTGCCACAGTGTCGACTAAGCGGATCAGTGGCTTTAAGTTAAGGTGTTTACGAAACCAACGAACCATGACTGAAGTCGAACGTAAAGCACGAGCTAACTGGACATCACTGAAACCAAGCCTTTTAGCAATCATCACTTTTTCAGCATGTCGCACTAAAGTATGAAAGGAGCTCTTGTCTGGAATGGTTGTTGGTATACATTCTAATAACTTCATAGCATTTGGGAGAGCTCCGTCATGTAGCTAAAAGTTAAAGGTTATAGGAATCTCAAGTCAAATACGAGACAGGTTTATTTATCGTGTTGATAAAAAAGCAAATAATTATTATTTCAACTGAACCTTCAAGATTTCTGTTAAATTAAGTATAACTTAACATTTTATGGTTTATAAAGTAATAGGATGGTACGGGTATCCCAAATTTAAGAGAATGTCGATTTAGTAAAAGTTCGATAAAAACGTATGATGATTACAATACTGAAAGAACGACAAATCGGTTAGTATATTTTAGCTTGATTCACAGTGATCTAATTTTTGCCACAAAACTTCAAAACAAAACTAGTATCATAAAGTTTGACAGACAGTTTATTTTATGCATACGTTTTACTGAGTTCGGATGTTACAATTAAATGACTAGACAAACATAAAATAGTACTACGCAACCCTAACTTATTTGAGGATTCACGAAGTGAGCGTTTACATATCTTCACTACTAAATCAAGTGTACTCTGTTAAACAACAGCAAGCTTGATGTAAATGTGATAGATGAACCAATTAGTTATTGTACATACCTAGGAAATGTATACTTACAGTTAAAATAAATTATAATACATATAATGAATCCAATATATTACCAAAAAGTTAGATACGTCAGAAAACAGAATAATAATTGATTGATTTTATCTGTGTTTAAGTATAATCTTGAACTTTGTACCACTAGATGTGATGGATTTATCGGTACTAAATCGGTTTTATTATGAGTTAAAAATTTCTTCTACTCATGATGTAAATGTATTAGTAAAACGATAGTAATCTCAGAAGTAGTCTTGCACTGACTGAATAGAACAAGTATGTTTAATTTAATAAACCACTAAGGGATAAATAAGTTATAGTAATTTCAGTCATTTTAGACAGTATATACAAACAAATGGTTTTATAGGTATCATTACTAAGGTTTGATTTGATAATTTCGAATAAGTTGAGCATTGTGTAGATTGTTATAAATAAATAATATATTTGTAATATCCCAATGAGTAGAAAAATTCTGAAGAAGTGGCTTACACTAAGTCACGAAACGTCGGAAAATCTAATTTTCCTACTAATTGGGATATTACAAATATATTTATTTACAAATGGTTTTATTTGAGTGATGCTAAGTAAACTTTTAGTGCGGCAAAAAGCTATGAGAAAATATCCATTGTTTCAATGCTACTCTCTATGGTTAACATAAAAATTTATTGCACTAAAATATTATTAAATATCAACAACTAAATGATATTAATCTTACCGATTCCAACTCTTTCGCACAGTTAACAATGGAGCGCATACGATATAGAAACCATGGATCTATGGAAGTAAGCACGTGAAGACGTTCGACTGACCAGCCGGATCGTAGTGCTGCAGATAATTTGTAGATTCGTACATCCGTAGGGTCAGATAAATCATCTTCATCAGGAACTTCGAGTGAGCCATCAAATCCAGAGACACTTTCGTTCGTCATTCTAAGAGATTTTTGTAAGGCCTCTTCAAAACAGCGTGCTATCGCCATTACTTCACCAACACTTTTCATGGAGCTGCCAATTTTGCGACTCACCTTGATATAAATTTTTAAAACATGTCTTTTGTGAAAATCCGTCTGTACATTCTTAACAACTACTCAATTCAACACAGCTGCTAGCAGTTTTGTTTCAGATGTACTTGTGAACAGTACGAAACAACAGCAAATTAACACTTGTGAGACGTTTTAAGAATACACCCTTATTCAAATACTTTGGTTTATTCATTGATCCCCTCTATCCCAGTATATTCAATTACCACTGAAAAATTAAACTTTGAGCAATAAAATGTTTATTTTCACTACTACGAACATGTCGAACTTGTTTAATATGTGTAACAATTATTAGAACTATTGGTCATCTTAAATACTTCAAGACATTGAGTTTACATCAAAAAACATAATACCAAACAATATTCTGAAGGCGATTATAAGTTAATTATTTTATTTATTCACTTCAACATATAAATATTGGTACAAAGGGGCAACAAATACATATGCACCACGCAATAACAATGAGAATGTGAAGTGGGTATAAGAAAAAGGAGAACAAGAACGAACAGAAATTAGCGTGTGATAGTGAAATAATAATGGTGGGAGAAGTAGTTCAGTTAGTAAAGGTACAACCAGAAAGAATTCTTTCAGTTAAAGAAGTTATATCCATTCCTTATGAAGATAGTTAAAAGAAATTACAGCGGGACATAAGCCACTCTGGCTTTCACTGTGCGTGAATTGATCTTGTTACTCACGCCACCACCAGTACTTATGCAGCTACACAGATACACGAAATTCCTGACTTCTTCTATCCGCTCACTAAATAGGTGAGTGCATGATCAGGGGTCTTGACAGTCTTGTAAAAGTATGTTACATTTCGAAGGTGCAAAGCACATATTATACCAACGGACACTAATCGCCAACTGATTCGATGCAGTTTGCATGGGCTTGGGTATCATCGCACAGTAAGACAGTATAATCTACATACTCAAGGTCGAGAAGTCTTTCTCCAGGCAACAGATCCACACCACTATTATTTACATCCATCAGAGCTGTTTCCAGAATGTCATCGATGGTAAAGTTGAAGAGGAGTGGTGAGATTGGGCAACCCTGTCTAACCCCAGTTCGTGAATGGAACAATGGAGAGAGGTGGTTGTATGCCCTCACTCTGCCTGAGGTGTTTTTATATAGGGCTTTTAGGATGTTAATAAACTTCTCGAGCACACCCCTCTTCAATAGACAATCCCAGAGAACAGTCCTGTCCAACGAATCGAAGGCAGCCTTGATGCCAAGAAACACTACGATTGTTGGCCTTTGATAAGTATGACGGTGTTCTAACATTTGGCGGAGGATGAAGATATGATCAATACATCCTCAGTCAGAACGAAAACTAGCCTGCTCCTCACAAGTCAATTTTTCTCAGGTTTAGAACAATCTACGAATTATGACTGAAGCAAATAGTTTGGACGCAATCGGAAGTAGACTTATCCCCCGATAGTTGTTACAGGACGACGTGAACCCTTTTTAAAGATACGAACAACTATCAACTCATCCCATGATGCTGGAACACTCTCTAACTGTAAAACCTTTTTAAACAACCCAATTAGTTCCTTAACCAGAAAGTCACCACCATCTTTAGAAGAGACCGGAGGTAAGTCGTCTGGGCAGTTCAAGAGTTGGAGTTCCTTGCGGACTTTCGCCTTGTTAAGTCGGTCAGTCTTGACGGGTTATGGAAGGCAGGACAGTCTGACCGATGTTGCCGGCGAAGCAGACCAGTTGAACTGCTCTTCGAAGGACTGCCCAGAATCCAAGACGTCTACGGATGCTGTTAAGTGTTATCTCGTAATTTTCACAGATTATTACGCTCACACCAGACTCTTGCTGCCAGTGACTCGAATGACTTGTAAGAGCTTCCAGCAGTTACCGGATGCAGCTGCTGCTTCCAGCTCATTAGCACGCTCCGACCACCAGACTTCTCAGTCCTTACGCAAGCTTTGCCTAATTTCATAAAGTAAAAATCGTTTTTTATGGTCAAATTCGCGGTCACCCAGAGTAGACCGACGGGCTCCGATGAGCCTGAAAAAACCCAGTGCTTATAAGTGGGACGTTTCGCGAAGCCGCAAACAACTTTACTAGTCATTTTCATGGCGTCATGCGATTGATTCAGGACTGGGCCTATGTCAAAAGCTGAACTAAGGATAGGGAGTGAAGTAGTCGAACGCGTCGACTTCACGTTTCTCGGAGGTCTGATCAGCCCCAATAGGTTGGTGTCCGACGAAATCTCTGTACGGATTCGAAGGGCTCGTTTGACTTATGCCAACTTACGTCACCTATGGAGAAGGCGAGATATCCATCTATCAATTAAGAGACGAGTATACTGAGCAGCAGTTCGTCCTTTTTCACTTTAAGGCTGCGAAACGTAGTCATTAAAAGTAGAAGATTCTCGTAACTTGCTAGTCTTTTATCACAAATGTCTTAGAAATATTGCTCGCATCTACTGGGATCATCGGGTAAGTAATAGTGACGTTATATTCAGGGTATTAGGGAATGATTGTAAATGAGTTGTTGAGGTTGTGAATCTTCATCGACTGAGATAGTTGGGCCACGTGTTACGTATGCCTGAACACAATTACCACGACGCGCAATGCTGACTAGTGTTGGGGATGGTTGGAAGAAACTTAGAGGTGGCTAAACCAAAACGTGTCATCAGTCCTTGAAATCACTAACTTCTAGTCTTAGTCATGTTGGTAGATGCAGACTACTTGGTTGGGGTCCGCATGATTATCGTAACCAATGGTTGGAGACTCGGAGTGACATGGCTCAGAATCGACCACAATGGTGTAGGTGTATACACTCTTTATCCTCCCTCAAACTGTGAGATTAAAATTACTTCATACCAACTAATTCTTTCTTCCTGTAATATATCAGTCAGTCAGTCAGTCAGTAACAACGTAGAACTTCGTACGTACGTACATCAGTTCGAGTTGCCATACCACATTAGCACATAGATGCAGTGGTCGATTCAAATCCCGTAGTGGTAGAGGTAATAAGAGTATAAGCAGTAAGCGGGAAAATTAGCGTTTAGAGATGTTATTCAAAGAGTATAATACAGTGAAATAGATTTGGGAAGAGAAAAAAAGAGACAAGAAGGAATGAGATCAAAATTTGGGAGAACACAAAGAGTGTATGCACCTGCGCCATTGCAAACGATTTTGAGCCATGTCATTCAGTCTCTAACCATCGGTTGCTATCGTCTCGCGGTTCCCAACCAGGTAGTCTACACCTACCGACATGACTCAGTCCACTTGTCAGTGACTTCATGGACTTGTGCCATGTTTTGATCTGGCCGCCCCTAGCTTTCTTCCAACCTACTCCTATACCACAAAACATCGTCGAGGCAGTCGGTCGTTGGGCATACGTAACACGTGTCCCAGCCATCTCAACTGATGAAGTTTCACTACGTCATCAATTGATTTGCCATCCTTACCTAGTACCCGTTTCCTAACAACTGCATTACTTACTCGATGGTCCCACGATATACGAGCAATATTTCGAAGACACCTATGATCAAATACTAGTAACCTACGAATATCCTCTACTCTTACCGGCCATGTTTCACTGCCATAAAGTAGGATGGAACAACTGCTGCGCAGTAAACCCGTCCTTTGGTTGATAGACGGATATCTCGCCTACGCCATAAATGACGCAAGTTGGTAAAAGCTAGTCGAGCCTTCTGTATCCGTGCTGAGATTTCGTCACACACCAGACCACAAGGGCTGATGAGACTTCTAAGATAAGTGAAGCGATCGACACGCTCAATTACTTCACTCCCTATCATTAGTTCGGGCGTCAATGCAACCCAATCCTGAAGCAACATTTTGCATTTCGAGGGAGAGAATCGCATCCCGAACATGCCTGCATTGTTGCTTAGGGTGGTCAGAAGACTCTGCATTTTGTCAGCGTCTTCGCCAAATAAAACTATGTAATCGGCATATTCTAAGTCAACAAGTGAACCTCCCGGTAGAAGTTCAACCCCTGTAAATTTAGATGAGGAGAGTGTTATCTCTAAAAGTACGTCAATGACAAAGTTGAACAAGAATGGGGAGAGTGGACAGCCCTGTAATATATCCCTATACGCAATCTTTTTCAGTACATTACTACCATTGAGTTGACTACTTCTGTGAATCCGGTGTTCATCTTGCTGTGCTAATGAGGTATGGCAACTTGGACCGGTGCATATATGTGCCTGGTCCTACGTTGTAGCTGACTGACTGCAACCAAGGCTCATTCATACATTTTGGTGGGATTTCAGCTAGCCTTGAAGCTAGTTCGGTTTAATATTTAGTTTCAGCAGGAGCTGCGACAGATTTACTGACATCGATCCGTTTAGGATGATGGATTTGTTGGCCACTAAGGTAAGATTGGTTCAAACAAGGGCATGATGACAATCCAGACAGGTACTCCAAGAGGAGCGGAGTATTGTACACAACGAAGCCAGTGGTAGCTGATCGCGATGTGATAAATCTGAGTCCAGGCTTGAGATGTAAAGGGAGGACACCAGGTGGCACATCGGCGACGACTGTTCCGGTAGTTAGTGCTAAGCCTAAACAGGTTGTATCTACGCACAGTTGCAGTAGACGGTCACCGTTACCTACCTGCAACCAACAAGACCCCATCGACCACCGAAACAGTTCTTTTCTGTGCCTAGACGCCGACTTGGACATTCAAGTTTCCGGCTAGTACCATAATATCTGTAGAACGCACTTTGTGTAAACGAACACTTAATTGGTAGTAAGACTCATACTTGATCATATCCGGGCTGCCATCTATCGAAGCATGTGCGGCGATGACGAAAAGACATTGTTACTCACATCGATTTCTTCGCACTTTGACAGAACTGTTTAATCTAACAGCACATAGGCGACTGTTAATGGTGAACCAATCGATCAGTGTCGCCTCAGCTCTAGTGCTTAGTGCGACACCAACGCCAGCAAAACCCGACGAAGATGCTACAAGGTCCCCGGATAAACGCACATGAAACACGCTTTCGAAGCGACAGATGGATAGTGAATTTGCAGTACTTCACTAGTGTCTTGAATACGGGTTTCGGATAGACAAGAGACGTCAATATCAAGGCTTTCTAAAGACATAACCAACCCTATCTGTTGTCCGATCTGCATTAGTGTGAGGACGTTGAGGTAAGCCAGTTTGAATGCTATTCGTAGTCGGTGGTAGCATTCAACTTCTGACCAGTCAGTGACTCGAGATCGTTTAGATAGGACAGGGTTCCCAGCATAGATGAGCTGCTGTATAAGTTTAAAAATAAGAAGACACAAAGTGAGAAAAGAAGAGAATAGACGTAGTATATAGAAAAATAAAAGTGAATGTTATCAAATGAATTTGAACCGAAGCAAGAATAGTATTTTCACTACTAATCGTCATTTCATTTCATTTGTGTGTGGGCTGTGATACTGCCCGGGTTCCCAGACTGAAGCAGGTGGTTTTCTTAAGGAGCCGCACCCGAAACCTTCGTTGTAAAGGTCTAATTCACAAGAGAGTGTAGCAACGTAAGGAGATGCAGTCCCATGGTAGCCGGTGACCAACGATTGGTTCATACGACATTTGTTCCTTCAGGATATTGGAGGTTATGTGCACCATTGGTTTGGAGTCAGGGTTTTCTAACCCCCCTAGTTGAACTCTCCGTGTCCACCAACCAGGTTAAAGTGCCTGATGTTCGCTTTTCGTCCTCTGAATTTCGTAAACAACACTCACGCTACGAGAAGGCAGTGAGTAGGACTTCCCTGAAAGAGGTTGTATACGCGTGGTCATGTGAGAGTATTTCGAGAGGGAAGCTGACTCTCCCCATCTTCGGCCGTACCAGGGAATAATTTAGTGATGAGAGAAGCCAAACGCCGAACTAAGCATCGGGTTTATATATATTTAATATTTTCAGCAAGTGTATGATAGAAGTTATCAGTCAAAGAAGATTGACAAATCTGTACACTAAGCTGATAATTTATAACTGTGAAATCAATAATAATGAACGAGATCGCTTCCTATTATCTTCTTCCCTACTAGCTAAAAAGAGACAGAAGCCTAAACTTGTCCAAAAGAACAGGGTATAAAAACAATACATCATTTCAGACTACTCATTAAAAGAAATGGTCACTAAACAATTATTCAGTAATCCGTTACACCACTTGCAGCATAATGTATCTAAGACGTTTATGTACATTTCCAAATAGATTTCTACCTATTCATTATACAGACGAGACGTTTATAGGAAATGTATGATTTTAATGAACAAAATGTTAAGTACAAAAATTTTTTTAAAATTAACTATTTTAAGTTTATATTAACAGGTAGTGTCATACCTTTTTATGAGGACTGCTAATAATATTTATTGATAAGTGAATGTTGTTTTCATTCAAAACTAAATAATTTCAAATCGGAGTTCAGAAAATCGAAAAACTTGGAGAACAGCAGCTAAAATAGCGATTCTTCAGAAATAAGAATGGAAAAAATTATTTGCTTATTACGAATTAACAACAGTCACAAAGATAATAATTGAACTTACCCTGGAAAACTTTGCTAAATCCCAGCGAGGAACTTTCACAACACAGTAATCCAAACTAGGTTCGAAACATGCTGTGGTGTGATCACCAGTTACACTGTTTGTAAGTTCTGGGAGACTCCTGCCCAGGCTAAGTTTAGCAGCTATATAGGCTATAGGATAACCAGTGGCTTTACTAGCGAGTGCAGAGCTTCTAGACAGTCGGGCATTTACTTCAATGATGTAATAGTTCAAAGAATGTGGGTCTAACGCAAACTGGATATTGCATTCACCAACAATCCGCAGATGACGAGCGACCTAAAATTGAAAATCGAAATATGTACAGGCAAATTACATAAATGGTATTATTGATAACTACAACTAAGAGATATGTGAACCAATCAGGATGCATAGAATAACAACACAAAGAAGAACTAAAGTCCCATGACAAAGAATATCAATTAAACTATGATGAAGCTTATTAGCATAATGGGTTAAGGACTAATAAAAGAAGACTTACTTTAATTGCAACAGACCGTAGCATATAATACTCAACATTCGAGAGTGTTTGACTTGGTGATACAACAATAGATTCCCCAGTATGAATGCCTACAGGATCGACATTTTCCATATTACAGACTGTAATACAGTTGTCGTAAGCATCACGTATAACCTAAATAAAAAATGTTAGTTATAATATCACACAGTAGGAGCGGATGTAACTCAGTATAAGTTTACTGATATTACAGTATGATTAGTAATATTTTAATAAAAACTAACCTCATACTCAACTTCTTTCCACCCCTTTAAGGATTTGTCGATGAAAATTTGAGTCGTCTGAGCCAAAGCTTTACCAGCCAGTCGTTCTAGTTCAGTAGCGTTTTCAGCAAACCCTGACCCCATTCCTCCTAATGCGAAGGCTGCACGTACAAGTACAGGATAACCAAGATCATTTGCAACTTTGACCGCGTCCTACAAATATTATAGATGATAATCAGTCCTTGTTAACTAATAAACCAAACATATGTCTTGGTGTTTATCTTACTCAAAAAGAATGATTCAAACTGATGGAACATAAAAACACTGACACACCTGTACAGAGGTTGCTGCATTTGCTGGAGCAACTTTTTCTCCTATAGTTCGCATAGCTATTGCAAATAGTTCTCTATCTTCTGTTATTTCAACGGCAGATATGGAAGTACCCAAAATTCGACAATTATATAAATCCAACACATTTGATGCCCCTGAATCTTCACCTTTAAGATCCGAAATTAAAGAACTTGATCTAACTTTTGTCAAAGCGAGACCACACGACAAGCTAGTTTGGCCACCGAAAGCTATCAGAAGACCATCCGGACGCTCAGCTTTATAACGCGGGCAACAGAATCTGGGGCGATTGGAAGTAAAAATATCTGAAAGGGTTCAAGGTAATAAAAAACATGCTATCGTTTTATTCAATTATAATTGAGAAAAGTATAAATTGGCAACGAAACGACGTAATATAACGAAATTCCTATTGCTCACCATCAATATTTCTATAACTGATAGGTCACGACAAACCGGAAACATTTTGGAAAACACCACACAATACTTTCTTGTCAGTATCCTTTTCCACTTGCTTACGAAGTGATTTTTCTGTTCATGAAAGTGTCATAAAATAGATCAAAACAGATCATCGTCTATTTTTACTACGGAGTTTTACTGCTGATTGGGAAGACCGTCTCAAAATTAGAGACACATGTGAATGAACAATTTTGCTTTTCATGAATATACAAGAACATGGTGCCAAGTCTCTTCCAGTCTTAAAAAACTTTCCTATCAAATACATGTAGGATGAGAGATAAGACTTAGCATGAAAACTGACTTTAAACATAGTAGCGACTGACTAATATCTTTAGATAACAGACGATTACAAGACGAGTGATCATGGTCGGTATTTTAATAGTTGAACAAAACAACTCGTTTTGCAACTGCACAGCTACAGTTAATGTTGAGTGCCCCCAAATGCCCTGGCACGGCCGAGAGTGGGGAGAGTCCGCTCTCCCTCTCGAAATGCTCTCACATGGCCACGCGTATATAGCCTCTGCCAGGGAAGTCCTACTCACTGCCTTCTCGTGGCATTACTGTTGTTCACGAAAATGAGAGGACGAAAAGCGAATGTCCGGTGCTTTAACCGGATCCCAAACCAATGATGCACATGGGCTCCAGTATCCTGCGGGATCAAATGGCGTATGAACCAATTGCTGGTCACCAGCTACCATGGGACTGCATCTCCTTACGATGCTCCACTGCCTTGTGGATCAGGCCTTCAGGTCGAAGGCTCGGGGGTAGCCCCCTAAGAAAACTACCTGCTTCGGTTTGGGCACCCGGGCAGTATCCTAGCCCTCACACATATCGAATGAGATTTGTGTGGCACATATGTATTTGGTGCCTTTTTGTACCAATATCTATGTGTTAAAAATAAAAAACAAAATAAATAAAATGTTTAGTACGTGCCGAATCGTTCACACAGAAGCTATCAGATAAAACTAGGATAAGAATAATCAAAACCATCAGAGCTAGTGTGAATGTAAGGAACTAACAAATAACACATTTGAAGAAGAGAATAAAAACTTATTCCATGAGTCTTACCTTATCAGCCATTCCTTCGGTCGTCTGTACAGTTGCAATGTTCGAATTGATTAGTAACGTTTGAACACCTTCTTCTCGAAGGGCTTTAAGAGCCTGACTACCAGAATAATCAAATTCCCCAGCCTGACCAATTGACAACCCGCCAGAACCTAGAAGCAAAACCTTTCTTGGTTTATTGTCTTTACTGCAAAGCACTCTTTCAAATTCCTCCTGGTTATAGGAAATGTGCCTCGTTAGATGATCACTTAGACTCTGTCCACCGGATGATCGGATCTATAAAAAGTGAAGCAAAGGATGATAAATTTGAACAGTAGTCCTGTTGAAAACACAACAGGATCGCTAAAACCATATACGTTTTTCAAAACGTAGGCTAATTAACTTACGTAATTTAGGAAAACATCAAACAAAAACTCCAGGTCGCTTGGTCCAGCCATATGTTCAGGATGAAACTGAACAGTCATCCATGGATAAATGTAATGAGCAAGACCTTCATTTGACCGGTCATTTTTATTCCGAAACAATTCATACCAGCCATCCGGAATATTTTTAGTGTCAACTGCATATCCATGATTCTTTGGGAGCAAAAAAATAATTCAACGTCAATAAGCTTAGCTATGGAAAGAATAATAAATATACTACAAGATAAAATGACATCACTATATTTTATAAGGCTAACCGAAACCAGATAATTATTTAATTTAACTAAATCTAGTTAGTATACTCAAAGCCGTAGGGTACAATAGTTTTATATCTAGTAGTCTACTGGAAATGAGACGTCAAAGGAACATGAATAACCCAACTCCAGTACTTTTATACTAGGTATTACGAGGGTTAATGTTCAACTAGTCACGTCCACATTTTTACGCTTGGCCCATACCCGATCGCTTTAACGACAGGATTGGTTCTTTTCTAACTAAAAAACGCTCAGAAATACTTAGTTTGTCACTTACGTCATTGAAATACTCATGGAAATTTCGCTTTGTAACTTGTCTGGCTATCATCTTTAAATATATACAGGTTGAAAATTATTTTGTTTACACGATTCAGTTGAGTCAAAATGTGTTAATCAGAAAGATATAAACTTTGTATCATATAAACTTTAAATTCTCAAGGAACCACTTGTTATCTTCGTTTGACATTTACTAAAAATCTGTATGTTGTTTATGACCAGAATTCCATGTCTAACACTTACATAGTTATTCAGCGGTGGTTGAGGAAACTATGTAGGATATTGCTTTTCTACTGTAACTAGAAGTGACTTCTACTTCGTACAATGAAAGCATGATTTGACCGTTAGAGTATGTGCTAGTTGGTCAGTTGATCGCATTTTAGGTTAGTAAGCCAGCTTATAATAGTCGGGTTTTATGTCAAGCATATATAGAGATGTAGGTTAGCTCATAAGGCCTTCATTGACTGTTCAGTTTGTTTGCACAGTATTTTACGTAAGTTATCGGTGAAATCGATGAGATATGAAATAGGATTTTCAAGATATAGATGATTTTTAAGTGTTGAATTTCTGCAGTATAATCATATTGCGTAATTTTGGCGTATCTAATAGTCTGATTGTTTTTACTAAAGTATTAAGCATATGCATAAATTTATCTTATTGGTATGGGTAATTTGCAAATATAGTTTAAAAGGTGAATAATTTTAACGTTATCTGCAACATTTATTAAAACTTGACCGAGGAATACCTTGTATGTGCAGATCAGCCTCAACAAACTCGGCAGTTTTTATGGTTATTATAACTATTCCATTCCGTAAATGTACCATACAATACCAACCGCCGATGAAAAACTGCTCATGAAGTCCAAACATTATAAAATTTTTAAGACAAGAACAGCACTTTTACGAGAACCCTCCTATATGACTAGACAATTAGACAAACCACTTAAACAATTGAATAGAAAGGCTACTTTTATCAGAAGTATGTGATAAGCAGGATATGATTTGCCGCAGGACTTTACCTTACAACTGAATGTCTTAAACTAGAGGACTTTCTAAAACAATAAAATTAAACTGTACCCATTTGAAAATTATCTTACCTGACTGGTTATAAAACAGCGTCCAGTGGGCAAGTGAACACAAGGTTGGTTGTGACCCCTATTTCCGTATTTCATTTTGTATGTTTTGAAGCCACATGCTAAAGCAACTAACTGGTGACCCAAGCAAATGCCAAATAAAGGTTTTTTTGTGGTCATCCATCCTCGAATTTGGTCAATAATACCCTTACATTGAATAGGGTCCCCAGGACCATTACTAATAAATAGTGCATCATAATTTGTTTCGGTTTTAGTCAAGTCACTTGACCAGGGCAAAACCGTCACCTAAAATAAATTATCGAATAGAGATTACAAAATACTGTTAGACGGTAAAATATGTGGAACAAAAATTTTAAGTAAATCTGACGTTATATAAAGACTTTTTAAGTGAAACAGCTTTGAATACAAATGCTAATACCTGATGAAAACTATGAAAGGAACTAGGACAACTAGAAACTGATTGAGCAGTGCGTACCAAACACTGCAATCACTAGTCGGTTTATATACGTTTTCATTGTGCAAAATGCTGGTGGAGCACTATTAAATACCCTTCGTCCCCCAATTTTAATGAGTTGACATCATCGTACAAAACTGAGCGACATTATCTCTACAGATGCTAAAAATAAATCATTTAACGTCAAAACACCTTAAAATATGAAATGTTTTCAAACAAAACTAACCCGATGCAGAACAGAAGTATAGGCTTTCACACAAACGTAATACAGCCTTACCTTTGCACCTCTCCTAACAAAACAACGTATTTGATTGAACTTCATGCCGCAATCTAGTGCAGCGATATGAACATCACCATGAGGGTTGAAAACTTTGATATCAGTTCTGCTTACTTCTGAAACTAGATTGTTTTTAGCAGGGTCAATCCAATCCAATGCTTCTGGATGTAGTGAAAGGGGAATAATTTTCCCTAGAAGCGTACCTAAAAACATCAAGCGACTAATAAAAATCAAAATACCATGTTGTCTAAGCTTCAGGGTTAGGGATCGCGTATCGATACCACTTATACACGTAACACCACTTTCACATAACCAATGACTAAGTGACTTGACTGCTGAAAAGTGAGAAAACTCTTCACACAATTCAGAAACAATTAGCCCTTTAGCATATATTTGTCTTGATTCAAACCACCTAGGCAAACCGCATTCATCAACATCGTCCGGTGATGGAACACCATAATTACCTGAGAGATTAAAACGTTAAGGCGGCTTACCGATAGATGGATACGTTAGTACCAGTAGTTGGGAATGGTATGATGGGTCGGTCAAGGATTCTACATAACCCACCATTCCTGTCTGAAAAACCACTTCCCCAGACTGGGGAATCTTAGCACCATACAAGAAGCCATTGAATACCGAACCATCTTCTAATACGAGAGCACCAGCACAGTCACTATTCGGCATAGTTGACTCACCAACGTCAACCACGGGAAGTTGACGGATGTTTGAAAAAACGGCAACAAGTGCATCAAAGACCTTGTAACTTTAAACAAACAATCTGAAAAAATTACTGTATACAGTCACGAATATCTTTAAAATACGGACTAAAAATAGAACACAACGGTTAAAATAACAATGCTGTTTTATTGAAATTACTGTACGTTTCTACTATTCATTAAAATAGGGAAGAGACACATGTCATGGAAATTGACTAGTGTCGACTCATTCCTAGGTGGAAGCCACCCCAATAATCCAGAAGTTTTCTAGCCCTTACAAAATCTTCAGTCTATAACAGCCTGCAAAACTATCTCTTGCTGATAAACCTGACGCATCAAAATAACTAGTTAAAGTGGTTCAAATGGTTGTTGACGGAATAGAAGAAGCTTTCACTAAACGGGATTCCTTGTCTAGTGGCTGTGGATCACCAATACCTACAGGCAGGAACCTATGTATATTATCGATAAAAGAGGAAAAAGAAACAAAGTTGGTAAGTCATAGTGAGATACTGTCCTTAGTCCTTCAGAATATGTCAAGTTTTCTCTTAAAGGACTTATCGGAAGTCGCTTGAACTAACTCAGCCGGTAGCGAATTCCAGCATGTGACTACTCTTTCGGAGTAAAGGATGTGTCTACAATCCGTTTTGTTGAGTTTTGTTTCCTGTTTCTGGGTATTACCCCTAAGATATGTGTTGGAATTGAGCTTAAGTAGGTGTTAATGGGGATGTTCATAAGTATTTAGAATTCTGTAAGTTATTAAAAGGTCACCTCTAAGACGCCTGTGCTCTAAAATGTAAAGGTTTAGTGATAGGAGGCGCTCCTCATAAGGCTTGAATTTGAGTCCCCGAACTAACTGTGTGACTCGTCGTTGGATACGTCCCAGAGTGTCCACACACATTTGGAGTGAGTGAGGAAACACTATGTTTCCGTACTCTATATGGGGATGGATGGAACTGTTAAACATTATATGGAAATTTCTTCCGTCAAACAGGCCGAAAATGCGCTTCAATGTTACCAGTGCAAGGTTTGCTCGAAAGGTATTTTTATCACAGTAAGCGTAAGACCTCAAATCGTAGGGTACCAGCACCCACAAATCTTTTCCAACTTGGGATACTTCTAGAGGGGAGTCGCCTAAGTTGTTGCTGTAGTCCGCAACATGTCTCAGGTGGACTACTTCAAACTTCGAAGTGTCAAAGATAAGTCCGTCATCTACGCAACTTTGAAGTCGAGTTAGATTCCCCTGAGATGTCAGTATATCCACTTGGTTACTCATCTCTCTACAAAATCTCACATAATCAGCGAAAAGTAATACATCTGACGATACCTGTTGTGAAAAATGCTACATCGGGACCCCAATCATTAATCGTATTGGCCAGCTGGAACATCTAAGGGCCTGGTTTAGTTTGAACTTGCATAATCTCCCATGAATTGTCAAGTGGAGTTACGGGTTCTCTGATAATAAAAAGTTTGGTGAAACACAAACCACAAATGAATCTGTACAAACTACTGGGATGTATTAAAGAAAAAAGACAACAAAAAAACACCAACTGCAACACATCACATTTAACACAGTTCCGGATATCGTTTTGTTTATACTGAATAGTTAACCCCACTTCATCAACTGAGTGAGTATAAAACGAATGATACCCAAAAGCATATTGAAATAATATTTTAATAGCATATTCAACCTGATTGAATTGAAGTGGTTGGAAGTTCATCAAACTGAAAATCAGTCGCATCTCATCAGGAGATTTACTTCAAGGGCATTTGCGACCATCTGATCAACCTGCACACTACGATATATATTACAGTTCTGAGGACATCAACTAAAAGTGCCACCAAAAATACAGATCTCACAATACTACATAGTAACAGCTTTTTTGTCAACAATACCTTACTAAACGAACTAACAAGTCGTTAGGACATTTATTTGTTTAATTAGTGAAATAGCAACGAACTAGTAAGGTAATTTTTAATTAAGGTACAGAGTTTCATTCGAATCACTTAAGTAATAACGGGACTGCTTGAAAAACCTCTTTTTTCAGAAACGTACACTTTCTGTAAAATAAAACATCAAGTTACTTAAAATGGTTGGATTATATGAGACTTACTAATATATATCTTGAGATAGTTATAATGTTTGAAAGTATTTGAATTATCGTATGAACTATGAATCCCAGAATTAACGCAATTGAATCAAGAAGTACTAGATGAGCACGAACGAATGTATTGTATTTATAATTCGAAATCGAACAATCAACAAGTACAAAAGAATCATTAGTTAATTCAAACACTACATTTAGTACTCGTGCTTCGCATTAAACAAGTTTCCCACAAGAAACAAATGAATTACGAGGACAAATAATATTTGGTATGACATCATGCTTTGACTCTTCTGAAATAGTTTCCTCGAATTTATTAAGAAATTCATTGCAGAGTAAAGGATCTTTAGAGATATTAGCATATATCAAAACTACATCAGGTTTTCGATCACAATTATATTAATTCAACATATTCCCTCCAGATTTGCAAGGGATTTCGTCAGAAATAAGTGAATCATTAGGAAAAGCCATATCTGGTACAATAACATGAGAATTCTGACAAATTGATTGATTAGAAACCGTTGTCTCACAAGGATTCTGAGTTTCATTTAACTCCGAACTGCCATATGACTCTTACTTACTTACTTACGCCTGTTACTCCTCGTGAAGAAGCATAGGCCGCTCACCAGCATTCGCCATCCAACCCTGTCCTGGGCAATCCTTTCCAGCTCCTTCCAGTTCCTATTCATCCTATCCATATCTGCTTCTATTATCCAACGTAATGTGTTCTGAGGCCTTCCACTTTTCCGCTTCCCTTCACGATTCCAAGTTAGGGCTTGTCTTGTGATGCAGTTTGACGATTTGCGTAATGTATGTCCTATCCATTTCCATCGTCTTTTCCTAATTTCTTCAGCTGGAAGTTGATTTGTTCTCTCCCACAAAAGGCTGTTGCTGATGGTATCCGGCCAATGGATGTTGAGTATCCTGCGTAGACAGCTATTTATAAATACTTGTACCTTCTTGATGGTGGTTGTTGTAGTTCTCCAAGTTTCAGCTCCATACAGTAGAACTGCCTTGACATTCGTATTAAAGATCCTCACTTTGATATTGGTTGAAAGTTGTTTTGAGTTCCATATGTTCCTTAATTGTAGGAATGTGGCCCTTGCTTTGCCAATCCTTGCCTTTACGTCTGCATCTGAACCTCCTTGTTCATCGATTATGCTTCCCAAATATGTGAAGGATTCTACATCTTCCAGAGTTTCGCCATCAAGAGTGATTGGATTGCTGTTCTCCGCTTTGAATTTGAGGACCTTGGTTTTCCCTTTGTGTATGCTGAGGCCTACTGATGCAGAGACTGCTGCTACACTGGCTGTCTTCATCTGCATTTGTTCATGTGCATGCGATAGGAGGGCTAGGTCATCTGCGAAGTCCAAATCGTCTAATTGATTCTGAGCTGTTCATTGTATTCCGTGTTTTCCTTCAGATGTCGAGGTCCTCATAATCCAGTCGACCACCAGAAGAAAGAGGAAGGAGGAGAGTAAACAGCCTTGTCTGACTCCGGTCCTTACTTGGAATGCATCTGTCAGCTGTCCTCCATGCACTACTTCGCACTGTAGTCCGTCATATGAGTTCCGGATAACATTGACAATCTTCTCAGGAACTCCGTAGTGTCGAAGAAATTTCTATAACGTTCTCCTATCTACACTGACAGATGCCTTTTCATAATCAATGAAGTTGATGTACAGTGACGAGTTCCACTCAATTGATTGTTCGAGGATGATCCGTAGTGTCGCAATTTGGTCTGTGCACGATCGATCCTTACGGAATCCAGGTTGTTGAAGAGAAGGTAAAGCATGCTTGTATTTACTTCGATGTCTGACTTCAGTGCTTCAGCTGGTATGTTGTCGGGTCCCACTGCTTTCCCGCTCTTGATTTGTTTGATGGCCATTCTTATTTCTTCCGTCGTTGGTGGGTTGACATCTATAGGAAGATCTGTGTGTGCTGCTTCGATGTCCGGTGGATTCATTGGAGCCGGCCTATTCAAGAGTTCCTCGAAGTATTCTACCCATCTGTTCCGCTGTTGTTGAATTTCAGTGATTGGCTTGCCTTCTTTGTCTTTGACCGGCCTCTCTGGTTTACTGTATTTCCCTGATAGTTTCTTCGTTGTATCGTAAAGCTGTTTCATATTTCCTTCTCTAGCAGCTTTTTCTGCCGTCGTTGCTAGTTCTTCCACGTATTTCTTCTTGTCGGCTCTAATGCTTCTCTTCACTTGCTTGTTTGCTTCTATGTATTCAGCTTGTGCTTGGACTTTCTCTGCTCGTGTTCGGCTGTTGTTAATTGCTGCCTTCTTGTTCTTCCTTTCTTTGATCTTGTCCAGTGTTTCTATAGAGATCCATTCCTTATGATGGTGTTTCTTTAGGCCCAGAACCTCTTGACACGTTGAAGTTAATGCTTCTTTGATGCCTTTCCAGTTGTCCTCCATACTAGTTTCTTCTTCCTTCAGTAGATCTTGTAAGGCTTGGAACCTGTTGTTGAGAGCTATCTTGAATTCGTTGAGTTTGTTAGTATCTCGAAGGAAGGCTGTATTGAACCTTTGTATTGCTGTTTGTCCAGTTGTCCAATTTTTCTTTAGCTTCAGTTTTAAATTGGCCACAACTAGGTGGTGATCTGAAGCTATGTCAGCACCTCTCCTGGTTCTCACATCTTCCATTGTCCTTCGGAATTTTTTTATTGATGCAAATATGATCTATCTGGTTCTCTGTAGTGTGGTCCGGTGAGATCCATGTAGCCTTGTGTATACGTTTGTGTGGAAATATTGTGCCTCCTATGACCAATTTGTTGAATGCACATAGATTTGCAAATCTTTCTCCATTTTCGTTTCTCTGTCCCAGTCCATGTCGTCCCATAATATCTTCATATCCAGTGT